TAAAATTGCGGATCTTATTGATAGAATTGACAAATACTATGTCTAGAACAAGAGAGTAAAAACGAATTACATTTTAATTAAACACTACCGGGACGAAGTCACGGGCAAAACTACTAACGCAATAAATGTTTTATTTTAATTCGAATGTAAAATTATTTAAATCTGATGCATTCCTTAGTAAGAGATATAAGTATTTATATCTTAATCATCTTAAGTGTTTAATGGCGTTTTAATTCCTTTGCAGCGCTTCCTAATTGTTGATGATCTTGAATTGTCAATTGTCGAATTAATATTGAGGACGTGCGCATGCACGCATGAAGTCATACGCATGTGACTGATGAACCACAAAGTCAAGTGATTTTAATCTCGAAGCAACTGTTGATTGGCTTCCACAACCATAAATAACGTTAATGAATATCAAAAATAATCTGGGGTTTTGAGAATATTCTAGAAATATGTGGAGAGTTATTGAATAGAATTTTATGCATTGACAGATATTTTTCTATAGGAATTCATAAAATTCTACCCCTAATTGTAATAAAGGTTTAGGGGGTTTAGGGATAGCATGAACATCTGTCTCTCTTTATATTCGTCCCGCCATGCGTCATTGCAATGCCGAATAGTCTCATACCGACTGCATCCATAGGAAAAGCAACCCTTAAAAATGCAGATGTTTGGTTTAGTCAACTAGAGTTATAGTTAGCTATAGAAGTATTGAGTATTGGATAAAATTTGTAACTGAAAAATGAAATCTTTGTTTATGTTATTAAATATTTAACAAAATGACTGCCTAGGATGTTGATGGGTTTTGGAGTAGTCTTTATTTTATAAATATTCTAAATTTAGACCTGTTGAGGTAGTCCCGAGGTCACAATGAAGTCGCAGACGAAGGGGATTGTTTGGTATGAATCATTAGGAATGCAGACGAAGAGTAGATAGACCTATAGATTGTAGAAGTAAATAAAAGAGAGCAGTTTGGTTCCCGACTTGATTAAACATCCTCAATGCTAATAGTTTTATCCAAATTTTGTGTATTTAAAAAAGTGTAAATTATACTTAAAGTATTATTTTCTGGTTTTGAATGACAATACGAGTATTACACGCTATGGACAAATTGCAGCTGTTATTCATATGGCTGAATATTGGAAGCTAAATGTAATAAAAGATGATTCCTAAAATTCTCCCCTTTTTCAACTCCAGACATACCAGACACGCCACGTGCGTCATAATTCAACGAACTTACCACACACAATCCACCACCCAGACCATAAAATTTATGGATTCGTGGATGATGCAACTAACCTACAAATTTCATAAGTTTTTTTTTTTTAGAATAATTCAAAAGTTAAGCATTAACTTAACTTATAAAACAGGAAATTTTATAATTTTATAAGAATATTCCTTGTAGGTAAATTTTATTGTGGTTTTAGAGTCAGTCAATAATTGCATTGCATTCAATGGAGCCCACATTTGCATTGATGGCCTTTCACGGAATGGCGGAATGCAAACATTGATTACTATCAACGAATCGAATGATTTCTATAGACTCAATGGGAATGCAAATGCAATGACGCAAACTTTGCTGTTGGCAGTTTAAACGTTTATAGTTGCAATAAATTTACCTATTACTCTATAATATGTATTTAGGTCTGAGAAAAATAAATATAGGTTAGATTTGAATACTGTCATTGAGATCATTCAAGTGCACGTGGGTTGTGGGTTGATTTGTAATTTATCATTTTAATTATGTAACCAGGTCGGACCACTTTAGCCAATTGCAATTAATTGCACTAGATCACAATTATTTATATCACAAATGAACAAATTTCAACTTTTCGGATTACCTGTGAGTGTGAGAATATTTCTGATTCACAAAACTTGTCTGATTCACATTCTGTGCGTACTTGTGATAATGATTCAACAAGTATAAGTCAATCGCATACAATACTCATTCAAAAAGCAATTCCTATGGAAGAATAGAAGAATGGAATAATATTCACATGACGTCGATTCGTTGTGTCATGAATGAACAATACCACCTAAGAATGTTAACTAGAAGTTCAATCACAGTTTAATCACAGGTGCATTGAAGACGTGATGACATTTATCTTCGTTTATTGAAACTTTATTCCGAGTGCACAACTGAAGGAAACTTCTCTACTCTCACGCCATGGTACTGGTGTGTATAGGAAAAGAGAATGCAACCAGGGACCAACCATCAGACGCTGTGGACGGTCATCGGCGTGCGTTGACCTTCTTATTGGAAATGCATTCCGGATTGTTCACGATGGCGCACCGAATACTCGTACAATCACGAAATATGGCCTGGTGCATTTGAATTAGGAGATTACCATATTTCTTCATCAGTATGCAACTAGCACTTCATGGAGTGGTACCGGAGGGTAGGTAAGTAATCTTAACCTTAAAATATTCATGTTTTTTGTGAATATTTACTAAAAATTTAGCCAAAACATGAAAAAAATTGGTTTTTTAATAAAAATTTTAAAATATGATTTATTTATATTTATAATATAAAAATGAATCGCAAAATCTGTTGGTAAGCGCATAACTCAACAGCGCCTCGACCAATTTGGCCAATTCTTTTTTAAAATGTTGGTTAAAGTCCAAGGATGGTTTTTACGACGAGAAAAATTTGAATAATTGCTGGAAAAACCCTAAAGGCAGCCATTTTCTATAGGATAAAAGGTGGAATATTGAAATTCAATCATAGTTTTAGTTAAATAGTTGAATCCAAGATGGCACACTGAAGTGCATTACCTATTAGCAATTCTTTGTATAATTAATTTCTTTAAAATAAAATTGCGAATCTTATTGATAGAATTGACACATACTATGTCTAGAACGAGAGGGTAAAAACGAATTATATTTTTATTAATCACTACCAGGACGAAGTCGCGGGCAAAAGCTTGTAACTAATAAATAATTATGTTAAATTTAAACTTCTGAAATTTTTGCAAGTTGTTGATTTCCGCATAGAAACCTCAAGTTTATTACCTTATTAGCTTGACTTAAACTATGACTTGCAAATCAACTTACTTACAAACTCTTCACTTTAATTAAACATAAACTAAAACCTTGCTGTATAATATAAATTATACGTATTACCATAATTCACGAGTTCAATAAAACTTACACTTTTTGATTGCAAAGTTTCGCCAATTAAACCCATGCGACTTTTATGCAGAAAACCAACAGACAAAACATAAAAAATCACATGCCAGCCATGATTATACATTAATCCAGCTAATATAAGTTTAGCACTATGAGTTTTTAGATTTTTTATTGAACCAACAACCGAGCGAAGAACCATCGGCATGGAACGGCCTCTAATATAAACGCAGCTCGAGAATTACAAAGAATTACAAACAATATTGTTACCACACACAGTCACACACATACATAACCAACAATATTAATATAGCATGTAATGTAGTTACTTGTATGAGGTAATGATCGCTGCATTAACTGTCTGACGTCTACGAATAGTGTTCACACAATGTCTGGCTGCTAATTAGAACTTCCTCATGTTAGATAACAACTCTTAAATTTCGTATTTTTAGTTGTTTTTGAATCACTCTGTATGTTTATATATGCAACTTATGTGACAGATATTACCGCCCCAGATTATAACCTATAAACATTCCAAAACAAAAGAAATAAAACCGCCTCCTCACAATTTCCGCTATTTTCCTTGAGGGAATAACAGTATCACACCCGATCCTTATAATTATGTACATATAATCATTAGAACTACATCCATATCAACTCCATTTAAGTCACATGTCTAATAAAACCGGAGCACTCGTAGCACTCATGTGTATTGCATTAACTTTAACACAATTTATGCAAATTATAGACGCGAACAAGGCTCGTAAGAGAATGGCGGTTGCGTCCATGCACATAAACATAAATCGTGAATAATGTTTATTGCTTCCAACATATTTTCTAAGCAACAGATAGCTCATGGCAAAGTTCTACTACAATACAATCAATTTTCTTTGTTTTTGTTTTTGTTTTGTTTTGTCAAAATGATAAATTTTTTGAGATTTTTGGAGATAAACTCATCTGAGTTTCAATTTTTATTACAAATGCTACACGGGCGACCTTGCAACACACCCAAATAGCCCGCAATTGAATGATTGTGATGTTTGCTCACGTAACAGATGATTACTCTGAATGAACCTGAACCCCAACTGAAACCTGCTGCAAAATTATGATTATAATTATATACAGTATAAAAAAAGTGCATCGAATGCATTTACCGTCAAGTCATGATAATATTGATGCAATTTTTGATGTCATTAACATCATATCATTTAAACAAAAATATTTACACACTTTATCAACAATTACGAAATTGTTTCAAGATTTTAATTGGAAATTATTGTTCCTAAAACTATTAAATCACTGTACTTATCGGAAACTTTCCAATGACTTGCTGTGTTTATCAGTAATAGTTAAAAAACAAATTTTTAATATTTTCGCAACTAACACCACCTATCCGACTAAATTCTAGTTAAATTAGCATGAATACCATCCAGAGAGAGCCACTGGTAACCATAAATTCTTTACTGGACTTTTATTCTTTCTGCTTCATTTTTATTTTGTTTATAACCGCTTTTCGTGCTCTTTGTTTCTGAATCATAATAGCTTTTGCTTTTTCGATACGGCTCATTGTTTCGAATGACTCGACGCGTCTGCATCGGGATTACTTCATAAACCGCAAATAAAAATGCAGGCCCTTTTATTACTTCTTTTATTACTTCTCCGCCTGCTTGCTGCACATTGGTGAATGCTGCTGAGTCGGGCGATCAGTGACTGAGTATTCTTTTGAAAACCGGCTTCCAAAGCGGCCGCGCAACTCGAAAATTCCACGAGTTCCTCAAATGGGAAAGCAGTTCGCCACGGCCATGCTGCAGTTTGCTTTTACTTTAAAAGGAGCTAAAGCTAAGCAATGCGATACAATAGACTAGACTTACTGTTGTTACCAACCAACTTCAAAAAAATATATTAATTTATAACAAATAACATTACTTAAGATAAGATACTAGACTAGTCTAGTCTTATCACACACTCTTCAAAAAATAATACGCATTTTGTAGCTAAGTGTAAATAAATGTTATCGATTTTTTACGTCTACATGATTTTGATTGATGATTATAAAAGTACGTCAGCTTACAAAATAAATAACTTAATTGTTCGTACGGTTATTGCTCGTTTAAGTTGATTGACTGGCCTGATGGCAAAATAGCGCACGCGTCAAAACAGGTAGCAATAACTTTACTACAAACTTAATAAATAATGATTAAGTTAAGAGGTGTTTAAGCAATTAATGCCTACGTGAGTTTTACAGCGTATATCATAGTCACAATCACAATGAGTTTAAATTAAAGTTTAAGTACATTAATATCATTAAATATTTTGATAAGTTTATCAAATCTCTACTCTACTCTTTTTTTTCTGTGGTATTATCCGCTGGAGGAGCTGTAGCGCGTTTTGCGGGAACTGGTCGTTTCTTCAACGTGGCATAGGGACTTTCCTCTTCAGGTTTTTGTTGTTCTAGTTCTGGTTCGTTGTCCAAGTCTGATTCAGAGTTGCTGTTTAACTGATCGTCATTATCTGATGGATACATTTTTACAGTGCTGGCCTTTTCCTCTTTACTGTACCTGCTCTCTCTTTCTTTTTTTAGTAAAGTATCCAAATCAGAGTTGGATTTATTGATCAAAAATTCATCAGAATAAGAAGGATATAGTTTATCTTTGTGAATCTTCTCATTTTCTTTAGTGTATGTAGTACCACCGTCATGGTCTAGTAAATTATCAAAGTAATTAACAGGTTCGGGTGATTTTTGGATTTCCGCAGCCAATCCATCGAGGAATTTTATGAAAACTAAACTGTTCATATTTTTGGCAAGGTATACCATAAACAGCCAGTCTGAATAGCCATAGTCACGTGTTACTATCATAAGTTTCCATACGTTGATACGACCAGAGCTGGCAAGACTAAAGACGATTTTGTTGAACCAAGCGCTGCGAGAGTAGAAACACATCGTGACCAGACGCCAAATTAAGTTGACAATTGATAATACAAGCACAATCATGAACCAGAACCAAAGAAAGGCGTATGCTTTCTCATTGATGATATTCAACGCCATGACACAGACTAAATCAATGGGTTGTAGTGTTCCGGAAGGACCGTATTTGTAAAAGATGCATTTTGTCATCTGTAAATAAGGTTATGTCAGTTGATTATATCAAAAATCACTTGGGACATAAAATTACCTTTGGGAATACTACGTCGAGAGGATCCACGTTTGAATCTAGACCTTCACGCATTAATTTTGGACCTAGGCTTAAGAAATGTCCGTTTAGGAAAGCATTTGTTAGCCAAATGTTCAAAAGAAGGTTAGCAAGGTTCATAAACTCGCAGATGATGAGCCAAAGTGTCCAGTTCTGATTGACTATAAGACTATCAGCCAGGTACTTTTTAATTTTACCAAATTGAGTTTCCCTAAATGCAAAATTGAATGAATTTTTGTTATGAAATATTTTTTTATTTGTAGAAATTACTTACACTTCTTTTGAGGTTGGAACTTTTTTGCTCAGTATAGTTATAGGTCTTTCAAATTCATCTTTAGCCATAGAAGCATATTCTAAACCATCAATGAGCTTCATAATGCGTTGACCTTTTGAATAAAACAATGATTAAAAATGTTTATGCAAAAATAGTTTAAAACAAATTTTTACCTTCCTTCTTTTTCCAAATTTTATGTGGAATATAGAAAAGTAGTGCTTGGGCAAACAAAACCATTGGAACCCATTGATAGTAAGCATGATACTTAACCTCTTCATCTTCCAACTTTCCGTGGGCCCCCACGCCGGGATACAGAATATCTGCGCGGTCCAACATGGTGGAGTTCATGTACTTAACCTACAAACACGCCTACTATACACTTTGTTTTAGTATAAAAAAAATCAGACATACCACAGTGAACGTAGTGGTAAAGAAGCAGTATCGATTGACAATTTTTAAAACATCTTTGTCGGTCACACCGATGCATTTGATGTGTTCACCGATGAGCTCCTGTGAACTGACCATCAGCACTATTATCATCAGCACACACATGGTAACACGGTAATGCAACCGAAAGAAGACATTGTCAATCGTGTAAGAGTGATGCTTCCATTTGATGTTGCTTTGAATTGTACTAATTAAAGACTTCATCTGTAAAAAAATTAGCATTTAAAACGTGAGGTTTTAATTACTTAAATTAATTTAATTGTGGATTAAAACTATCAGCTTAAACTTACGTTTGCAGTTGGGTGACGGCTGCGCCCGAGGGAAAATTTTAAATATCTTCACGTAACACAGGTAGCTGTAAATGTCTTTGATCTTTAACAGTTTTAATTTAATTTTTAATTTGTACCAAGTTTTATTTAATCATTCGCGAACGTTCTAGACACGCGCGAACACTTACGTTTGCACGTACTAAATGCCTATAGATACAATATAATAGGATCCGTGTTATCAAATTCCTACAGTATTCAATGAAGTGTCAATAATCATTATAAACAGCCAATAGCCTTCTCTCTCGCATGTGTTGAACAGAATAGCTTAGGCTGGCTCAGATTTACAATGTATCATAACCTAAAAGTATAATTGGTTGCCTAACAATCATTTTTTAGCATAATATCATCAATACAGGTTCCACTGACTCCGCCTTTCACAAAACGTAGGTAAATTTAAACGATCGATTTCAGTTTTGGATTTTTGGTCCGGTCCGGTCCGGTTCGACGAGACCATGAAGACCAGACTCTTCGTGCGGTCAATCTCCAACCAAAAAAGAGAACAAAATTTACATGGCGATGTGAAAAAGAATGGGTCCATTATCATCGAGTAATAAAACGACGCTTGGACGGCGATTGGCTGAGTCATCTCGATTGCTTTCGTGCTGAAGAACGTTGAAGCACAAAAAAAATAAAGAATGAAAATGGAAGGCGGTGCTCTTTTTTTTTAAAGCTATGAATTTAAATTCATAGAGATCATCAATACCTGTTTCAGTATGATTTTTTTTTCATCATTTTATCGTCATTTTGATTAGAATGCACGCAGATTAAACAAGGGAAACCTTTTGTTTCAAAATTTAATTTAAAAAATTGAATGGATCAATCTGCACTTATAATTAATTTGAAAGTGCTTGATATGCAAGCAATCTCTCTTATCTTAATCATTTTTATTAAATATCTAATACAATTAACCTTGAGAATGTCATTGAATGTTCATTTTGTGCCCTTGTACTTTTAGGTGCAGTTGAAAGGTTACAAAATGGCGGATTAAGCTTAAGTCAATGAATACTTTTAGAATAATAATCTTTAGTTACCAGGTACCAGGTATTTCCAAAATATACCTATCTACATGGAACAATTTACTGCGGATCATTTGTTGACGAGTTTCTAAAAGATTATTTTATTGAGATTAGGACTATAATCCATGGGACTTTAGACTATATTACTTTACAACTTTATGACGCTAAAGTTTACCTATTTTAAACCTGCCCAAGTTTGTTCAGAGACAAAAACATAGGTAAAATATCATACATTCGTAGATTACAAAAGAAAATTGCACATTAAAAAGGAAAACACTGAAAATTTAACAAAAACATCGATTGTGTCATTTGTAAAATACAACATTGTTGATTATGTGTATATCACATCAAGTGATAATCCCAATTAATGAAGCTGAATGACGTGAGATACGCGTATATAAAATATCAAGTGATTTGATCTAAATGAACAGAAAAAACTAGAAAAATCCGATATTAGCTACTGAACAATGTCCTAAATTGATGTTCCAGCACCTTCTATAAATAATCTGAACCAGAGTATATTCTGTAGTTCAAAAACAAAGAAAAATTCTCCGAAATTTATCTTGCATTTCCAAGAACTGAAACTAGACTTAAACTTTATTTAACTTTACTGCATTACAAACGAAAGAAAAGCCGAAACAAAACTATTACAACATTACAAGCATTACGGCAACATCGGTGTCATTACCAGCTCTAAATTTGGAATACTATTTGAAACTGTTCTGCACTTGCTTCATGGGACGCCACAAGTATTTTTGTCACAAAGAATCAAAATTAATTTCTAAAACTCAAATATAATTGTGTCTCACACACTGTAACCATATGTGCTCGTATGATATTCATAGGTCAAGTGCCTTATCAAAAAAAAAAAAAAAACATTTGTAACGAACATGCTTGAACCTTTCCTGTGATACTTTAATTTTTTCACATCCTGTATATTACCGAATTACATTTTGAGATTAAAAACAGTTTTGATTGATTGGAAGATTTTATATTGTCAAATAACAATTAATGAAGTGCTTCTGTTGTGGGATATGCGTAGATAGAATTCGTGTCGTCGTTTGTAATGGATATTTGATAATATTTACTTTGTCCAGTGCTAAACAATGCTTGGTTAAAATGATGTCCGCTAGAGGACGCAAGCAGACGGTGGAATACACCACGTCCCCCTCTTCTCGTTTTGCGCCCTCACAGGCCCCCTTCTCTGCCGCATGCTCGACGCAGCCATCAAGCGCTAGTAGCTTCCAGCGCACAAGTAAATACGCACTGCGAGAAATTGATCGCGTACTCATTGAGAATAAAGCGGCTGCCAATTAAACGTGTTTCGTCAATTAAACTACGTGCGAATTCTCCAGTCGTCGCGCCGCGTTCCGTGCACGCGCCCGCGCGCAAAAATTTGCATCCAGTGTGCTTCGTATTCGACGAAACAGTGTTTCAAGCGACGGCACCCCTAATAAGCCAGCATCATGTTTGATGTGTTCGGGTCCGTGAAGGGCCTGCTGAAGATCGATCAGGTGTGCATCGACAATAACATCTTTCGATTGCACTACAAAGCGACGGTGATTGTGCTGGTTGCGTTTTCACTGCTCGTCACCAGCAGGCAGTATATTGGTGACCCGATCGACTGTATTGTCGATGAAATTCCATTGAATGTGATGGATACGTATTGTTGGATTTATTCCACATTCACCATTCCTAATCGTTTGACGGGCCGTATTGGTCAGGATATGGTACGGCCCGGTGTGGCCGCCTCCGTGGATGGACAGGACGAGAAAAAGTACCACAAGTATTATCAGTGGGTGTGCTTCGCGTTGTTCTTCCAGGCGATGTTGTTCTACGTGCCGCGTTACTTATGGAAAACGTGGGAGGGTGGCCGTATCAAAATGCTCGTTCAAGAGCTCAACTGCCCAATTGTCAATGAAGAGAGCAAGAATGACCGGAAGAAACTGCTTGTAGATTATTTCTTTTCTAATCTACGTTTGCAGAACTTTTATGCTTATCGTTTCTTCATCTGTGAAGTTTTGAATTTCATCAACGTTGTGGGGCAGATCTTCTTCATGGACTACTTCCTTGATGGTGAGTTTAGTACCTATGGCACAGATGTCCTCCGGTATACCGAGATGGAACCGGAAGAGCGCATTGACCCAATGGCGCGTGTCTTCCCCAAGTTGACCAAGTGTACCTTCCACAAATACGGTCCCTCTGGTACGATACAGAAACTCGACGGTCTCTGCGTGCTGCCGCTGAATATTGTCAACGAAAAGATCTACGTATTCCTCTGGTTTTGGTTCATTATCCTCAGCGTGCTGTCGGGTATTTCACTGGTGTATCGCGCGGCTGTCATAATGGGTCCCAAACTGCGCTTGTACCTGCTGCGCGCGCGGTCGCGCCTCGCTTCCCAGGAGCAGATCGAAGTCATCGCGAAGAAGTGCCACATCGGCGACTGGTTCGTCCTCTACCAGCTGGGAAAGAACATCGACCCGTTGATATTCAAAGAGATCATTAATGATCTTGCCAAGCGGCTGGAGGGCAAGGAAGCTGTCTAAGAACGACGCCGCTAGTACTCAACAATTCAACAAAACTAAAACAACAAATTTATTAATAAAAAAAAATGACTCCAATGCCATAATAATTTTATTGCTATTTTTATATAAAACGAAATCATCTACGAAAAAAAAACAAAACACGATTACGACGAGCGACAATCGAAATTGGAAACCGAAAATCGACGCGAGCGTACGGTACGAAGAAAACGAGTTTTGTTCGAAAACAAAAGCGAGCATCTCGGAGCTCATCTTCGAGAAAACATGCAACGCTGCACGCAAGAAGCAAGGCAGCGAGTTTGTTACCTGCACACATACACATGGCGATACCGCCATTATGCCCTCGTGAGCCATCCGCATCTTCACGCTCGGCCAGCGCACACAACTCGTTTTTTATGGTCGACGAGCCCGAACAAAACCGACACGAACCGAAGTATCATCCACATTCCATGCAACCTGAAAGAAATTAAACGATAAACGCATACGCATTTAAATATAATATTAGGGACCAATTTCAATAAGTATAATATTTCTGTGATGATGGAGGAAGACGATATAACTGAAGAACTAGCCGCCGAAGAAGACTAGAAATAAAGACTGCACTCTCACTGGCGATGACGCAACGTCCAGCGCCATTGCCACGGGACGACGAGAAGAAGGAAATGTCGCACAATTTGTTTCCGGTCGACGCGCAACAACAGGAAAAAGGATCGCAGGTGTAAACTGAAAGTAAAGTGACTCAACACACACGATTGAAAATTCGTTCAAATGGCAGTTATTGTAGTTTCGTACAGACACTGGACTGTGATTCAATATTGTAATGATTATTTGTAGATTATTTTCAAATGTTTGGCTTCAAAACGTGTGCAAGATACACACACACAGAGAAGCTGGGTTATGTTTTAAAGCGGTAGTGTATCTAATAATTTATCTCATTTCATTCAAGAATCATTTTTATTGTGCATGTCAATTCCGTTATTTATTCTAATCGTATTGTGACACGTTGATGTATTTATAACAACGCCCAGTAACGAACAAGCGTATTTCCAGATTTTTCACACAAAATCTGCAAATGCGGACAACCAGGGTTAGATTGAAGCAAACGTGCATGCTCAACACATTCATTCCAAAAGCAATTGCAAGCACAGATGTTAGGTTATGGCGGCCATCTTGCATTTCGAACGATATAACAATTCCAATGGCTTTCTTTGTAAATTTACGTTTCTCTTACGTTTAGTAGATATGATTACTGCCAATAGTAGTAGTAGCTTTCATTCGTCTCTTCACTCCAACGTTTTATTATTATTTTTGTTTGTTTTAATAGTTTTGTAAATCTTATTCATTGCAATAGTTACAGATGGAGCACAAGCAAAGCACAACTGTGGATAGTCGGATGTTCGAAGATGTGCGCGTATAAAATGCACGAAATTCCAGATGGCAATTGAACAAAGTACAAACTTTACACGCAATTTTTTTACGTTTACAATCGGCGCCATCTTCGAACACCCACCCCCCCTCAATAATTGTAATAATTTTCTTTCGATCAAGTTTCATTTTATCATGTTTACAACAAGACAAAAGATAATTATTAAGGTGTAAAACAAGCAGACAAAAAACTATAAATAATATATCTTATATATGTGATGAAAAACTTCTAGGTATTTAGTTAGTATATAGAATTTTAATTGATGATAAGATATGATACAAAGTTATGTTCCATATTGTTTCCACTTCGACGGGAGTAGAAAGACGTGGGCCGATGCGAGGCGAACGCATTTTATGACAATTTATTCGAAAATCTATTGTGAAATTCTCACCGATAAAGAAAAATACTACATTAACAATGTGTACTGTGTTCATTCATTATATTAATGTTAAATAATTGTAACATGCTGATACCTAAAGTTATAAAGTTGAATGCGAACTCTCGCCGTTGCTTCGATATCGTGGAGATGCGCTAAAATGTCTTTCAATATCAGCGTCAACATTTGAAGGAGCGGCGAGGGTGGAAAAAATGCGAAAACCGAACGTGCCTTCTATTTCTATTTATATACTTTGTATGGAATTTTATATGCAGAATTAAGGAATAAATTAAAGTATAAATATTTATAAATTTGTGTTTGTGGTGTCAATTTGTTTAATATTTTGGAAAATATTTTTTCAGGCTATAAATTAATAGGCTAAGAGCCAGTGACAGCCAGACTTTCGTCATTTTAGGAAAGATGAAATTTTGTCCATGTGTTTCTCAACACAGGTAAGAACGATCCCAATTATGAAACCTGGATCGTGGTTCCTTTGGCAGTTAACAGCCAACAAAGATGTACACATGATGACCTATGTTTCGTTATTTTAGCAAACTCCATTTTTGCATATTTTGTTCGTAACATTATTATAACATGCGCTGCTCATTGCCAGTCACCTGGTATGGTTCCAACCCTAGCCAGACACCCCTAAAGTATATTATTTTTTAACTTTTTTACTTTCGTTATATTAGGAAAGCTGAATTTGATACACATTATACAGAGAGCTATGAAACTGTGTTTTCTTTCGCGCCAGACAGTTTGGTCGGTTCTATCATCCTGCCAGACGCATTGAAAGTGTATAAAAGTTGCAAAAGTTAAATTGTTTAAATATGAAAATTTCAGAGAATAGTTATTTTATTTGAACAAATATTTAATAATAATCATCACTGTCGTCGATATCTTTGCGATTCGTTCTTTTCTATCTCCTTTAGTTTACGAGATATTAGCAATTGAAATAAAACGTCAAAAATTGAAAAATTGCACTTTTGAGCACTTTCAGTCGCGGTATCGAGAACAATGATAAAAATTAATAAAGATTTGTTAAAATAAAATTACTATTTTCTGAAAATTTCATGTTTAAACAATTTAACTTTTGCAACTTTCAATGCGTCTGGCAGGATGATAGAACCGACCAAACTGTCTGGCGTGAAAGAAAACACAGTTTCATAGCTCTCTGCATAATGTGTATCAAATTCAGCTTTCCTAATATAACGAAAGTAAAAAAGTTCAAAAATATTATAGTTTAGGGGTGTCTGGCTAGGGTTGGAACCATACTAGGTGTCTGGCAATTAGTAGCGCATGTTATAATAATGTTACGAACAAAATATGTAAAAATGGAGTTTGCTAAAATAACGAATTTGAGGTCATCATTTGTACATCTTTGTTGGCTGTTAACTGCCAAAGGAACCACGATCCAGGTTTCATAATTGGGGATCGTTCTTACCTGTGTTGGAGAAACACATGGACAAAATTTCATCTTTCCTAAAATGACGAAAGTCTGGCCGTCACTGGCTCTCGCTCTATAAGTTTTCTTTATGTGAAATGTTTCATTTACCGTTTTTCTTAATTATTTATTATTCTTAATTTTTTCACATAAAAAGTAAGAATTATGCGATGATTAGTTAGAAAAACTACTTTTAGACATCAATTCATAATAAAATATACAATTTTTTATTGTTCTAGGGCAGAAAAATTAATTATTTCTTGCAAATATCTAAAGAAAAGCACATTTTCATGCTTATACAATTTAGAAACACCCTGTACATCAAGGTATGTTTATATCTACATTATTATTGCAATTTGATATCATCTGGCTAATATTTTGTTCTCGAATAATTTTTGCGCGTGGACTGTGCATGATTTTCTTATCAAAATATTTTTAGAAATTGATATTGGCACTTAAACATACTCCTGCAATCTAAATGAGTGTGCAAGTGAAATTTATATGAAATAACAAATGTATATGTTGTTTATGTTTTACCGTCGTAATAATCGTGAACAAAAGAGGGACGTAGGCAAATTAGGCAAAACATCACATCTCAGTTGAGCGTTTGTTTAAAGTAAGTTTTAATCATTTAGTTATATTAAACTATTGCATTTTATAGTGTTATCATAATATACTTTGAACAAAGTCGTCAAATATAACAAATAATGATCATTTTTAGTTTTAGTTTTGTTTTTAAGTTTTTATTCAAGTCACGATGATAATTGCAATTATTTTTTAATATTCAACGTAAAATCATCAAATTTATAATAAAAAATAACCAGGAACTGGAAACTGGAAATTTCGGGAGAAAATTGTTCAAGTTTTATTCCAACGATGATTCAAATATTTCCAGTAAACGTGGATGTGATCAGCGTCACAAGTCTTTTCTTCTTCGTGCCGGAGAGTCACACCCACATGCCAGCGGTATGTTCACAGAACACAAGAAATAGAGAACGTTTACAATTTTATAGCGTCATTCTCTCACATATATCTCTTTTGATACTTACGCTCGCATCTCGTCGACGACACGTCGCTGTTTGTTACAGTGTTGCTTGTTAAGTACACTGCGGCCGTACCACTAAGTAAGTACTTACCACACGCTTACAATTTACTATTATTCTTTCTCTTAGTGTGTATCTCATTCGTGCTGAAATGTGCAAAGTATGCATTAGCTACGAAAATCTAAAATTGCTGCGAGGAGACATTCCAACTCGACAATATCTGCACGTTGAAAAGAATAAAAACTTGGTTAGGAAAGCGTAACGTTAGTAGATGCATCCGTTGGTGTTATAACCTTCAAATTAAATCATAATTAACACCTTCTCACAGTAGACAGTCATCAACGATCATTAGTCCACGTTGCGTCGACGTATTTGAGAAGTCAGACTAGACTAGACACTGGAATTCTTCTCGTGCGTGGATATAAAATCGACGCGGGCCGAAAGTAGGTTAAACGCGAACAGTAAACCAGCAACTCGCGCTTGCTCGCATTTCGCGATTGGTGCGTACCTTGGCGGTACCGTACCTCGCACCGAGAGCCGCCGACAGTCATTTGGTAAATTTAAAAAATGAAAAAGGTTACGACAAGTGGCAATTGCAATCATTCATCCGTTTATAACTGCTTGTATCTGTACAACCACAAGCAGTAAGTAGGTTTAAGTCCTGTATATTCACAATTTACATTCAACATGTCTGCTTTTCTTTTCTTTTCTTTGCTTTTTCATGTGTGCATCTGCTTGCAATATGCTGAAACCTTTTTTGCTCATGTTGAAGTGAAGGTTACAAAAATGTGATTTATTTTTAATTATCATGGCATTAATGAACTTGTACTACCACAAACACAGCGTCGGCGTTCTTAATTTCTTAATTATCTTCAGGCTTTCCGTCTGCGTGCTCGGTGGAAATGAAGGAATGCATTCATGTAACTTCACGCACGTAACAAAGCAATGCTTGTTTTACATTATAAGCGATGGAGAGATATATTTTTTTACTCACAGAATTTACATTATTATTATACAGCGAGATGTTCATTTGGTTGCATACCGATTAATATAATATAAATGCAACTATTGTGAGAAACACGGTTAGGTTATTGGATTTTCACAGCTCGACATACACCTTTGTGAGGTGTAGGTACCTATGGTAGTCACTTTGCATTCCGGACGCAGGTTCATGGTCACGCGCGAAACCGGCAAAGGCACAGTAGTGCTCAGTGTTTCAAAAAGTTCAGCATATTTTACTAACATGCTTTGCATAGATGCATTTATCCTGTAAAGGTTTTAAACTTTTTTTGAAAATACTTCTACTTTGTCAAGTAACTGTATTAATTGAGTCATTTTCAACTTCTTGGCATTCGCTGTCGAAAATTTCTGGTAGCATTGACCACATCATTTCGTGGCTCGTTAACAAATTAAACAAAAAAGAGAACCGGACTTGGATATAATTCCAGTGAATCCAAAATGATTCATATGTAGATACTTACATTCTTAACCGGAAATATCAAACATTCCACATTCAAATATTAAAAAAAATTAAAATGTGCGTGAAGGTAAATACCTACTCATAATGCACCTGCATTGTACCCGTATGACAAATTCAAATAACAAATGATAATAACCCCGGATAAATATTCCTAGATTGTTTTATGCACGCCAATTGAGTTTAAACATACAATTTTTTTGTATTCATAAACTGCGCCCTGGATGAATGAACTGCGTAAACTATTGTCAATTGTCTGATGTATGATGAAAGCGATGACGAAATCAAACACAACACTCGCAATTAATAAGTCGTATCACGCACGTTAGCAAAATCTATCTATAGCTAGTCTATGCTAATTCGTTGGGCTATGTGTTTAGTTGTCCAGTAATGCTTATTATTCCCTAATCGGCGGTGATTTTGCTTATTCAGTACCTGTGCTCGCCGGCGATTTGTGGCCACATTCATATAACAATAGTGCAAAACTTCGTATGATGTGAACACACACAACAATCGATGATTATTTTAAATGTGCGTTTGTCTAGACCTAGACGTCATGGTATTGTTTCCCAATCTAGTTTATTATGGTTTTAAAAATGAAAGTGGTTCAAAAACAAAAATTTACCAATTTTAAGATCTTTATGAATCAATTTATTAAAAATTATATAGTTTATTGCTATTTATATTTATATAGGTATATAAACAAGTACAAAAATTGATAAGTTGAATTGTAAATGTAAAGTAAGGTTATGATTCGGTGAAGAGCTGTCAAAAAATGACAGAAGATTGCATTTTTCAAGTTTTTATTTTTCATTCAGGTATCATTTTATTTTTCTCTCCCATTTCCTATTTGGATGACCCTAAAAAGTCGTTTTAATATTTGAAGTCTAAATAAAAGGTCTCGGTCTCCTAATTTCAGTGCCCTCGACTGTTTGCCCACGTCGCACTTAGCTTGAAGCCTTATCGAGGCGTCGACTGTCGACAACCATGAAGCCGACTGACATTGAAACCGTTAAAGGTGTATTTAGGTAGTCTTTGTCTCCTCTAAAGGTATATTGATAGATAAAATATATTTAAAACATGTTTCTTCAAACGGGGAATTTCGGGTCCCACTTATAATTTATCCTTTTATAAAATCCTCTCATTTCACGCGCTTGTGGATGATGACTGGTGATTAAATCATTTTTAAGTGATCCTTCTTCGAATTATCAAGTTATAACAACATATACCATGTGTTTGCATCAACATAAATCATTTTACGTTGGTTTTAAAGAAGAAATGATTCTTTAAACAGGTGGTATGATAGTGAAGCATCTAAAATGATTGCTACCATATGATACTTCTTGTTTTACGCATGGAAAAGGGTAAAAACTCTTCAAGGCAAGGAAATAAACACTGCTCATTAAACATCCTTGTAAATTCAATGTCTGCAATTATAAAACTCATACGCATACAAGCTACACGCGCTTGTTTCTTTTTTTTTTTATAAATTCATTATGCATATCTTCGCGTGTGTTTCGCTGATTTATGTAAATCATACTGATTGCCGCTTTCCATCGAGTGTTTTTCGACTCGTTTATTTTCCAAGACGTAAATCGCAGGCTCGTAATGCACGTTTGGTGTTGCACGCCTGCCGGTGTGTGTTGTTCGTTGAAGAGGCTTGCTTGAAGCAGCAGTGGAAGAAGAAGAAGACGGGTGTCCTCAGGTTGTTGCGCGCCGTGTGAATATCGCCAGGTTCTCACACACACGCCGGACTGGGACGACGTAACAAATCTTTGTCCGTCTACGGCGATGAACGGCAGATACGTGCGGCGAAAGAAGACACAGGCCAGCGCAAAGGTTCGCGCTCATGAATGCACGTCGAATGCATCTTCACTCTCTTCAGGTCGGCTCGGCTTGGTTCGAGCACAAAGGCATAACCACGCAGCAAGTGTCGAGGCAGGAACGCGTATGGTAGAACAAGAGAAGACACACTTACCATGCTTACTTACACGTTTCTGATGTCAGGAGGCAAATCTGGTACTAGTACTTACGGTTTTTATACAAACGGTTTAACATAAACAATAATAACATTTAAAAAGTTTTTAAACAAAAATCTCAACCAATTCAATTTACATTAATAAAATGTTCATAAAATTATTAATTTTTTTAAATAATAAAAATATTTTGCATAATATGGGAACATGCAGTGGAACCTGTGGAATTTTGAAGAGAAGAGTTGAATATGTGTTGCTGAAGGTGCACGCCGCGTCTCCGATTCCCATTCGGTCGTCGGCATCGGCGTCTTCGGCCGGCCAGTGACCACCCACTTGATTCACCGTGTTACTCCTTCGTCCTGCTCTCCACCTCTTCATCCCGACGGTCCACTCACGTCTACTTCATCTCCGCTCTTGCATTCTGCATACCATAGACATGCATGTGACTATTCCCTGCGTCTTTCTCGACTCCACTCGTTACTTATGCACTAAGATAGGCAGCACAAATACTCATCCATAAAACACAGGTTTTTCTTTACTTTTTGCAGTGAAAATGAATAAACTATATCTTTTCTTTATTTTTGTTCTTGTCAAGATTCTTAGAGTTAGTATAATAAATTTAGCAAGGTGATAATAGGAATTTGGACATTGTTGTCATCCGCAAGAAAAAAATTCACACTGCTAGTGTCCACGTATTTGGAGTCAATTGCTTATGCAATTAGAAACGAATGCACGGCAGTTTGTAATCAGCGAAAGCCCGTATTTGTGAAGGCGCACCATAATGGTTGTACGCGTGTGCATGCTAATTAATACTAATTACATTTTCAGGTGCTTACGTTTTGTGCAAGCGAACAAGCAACGTGCGTTAACCCGAAGAACCATTTTAGACCATTGTCTTCGGATGCACCAGGTAGGTATTCGTAGAAGTAGGTAATTCAAAATGCTATGCAAAAGACAATACGCACTCAAAATTCTATTTGTACATTTTACAATTACAAATTTTTAATTGTATTGTAAGTTTTGTTTTCTAAATGTTTTCTGAACACACCGCGTGCGTGTCTAGAACTTGAAGAATTGTGACCTGCTGGCCTATGATGTGTGAATGGAAATAAAATAAATAGAAAACCGAGACTTTTCACATCTACCATCGTTGCGGCTAACTGCCTTATGCACCTACACATGTGTGCGGAACGTGTACAAAACGCCATCGCCATAAACATGATGCGCTCGTTTCGGATTCGGATTCTGTTCAAGTCCGGGAGGTTGAAAAACCGGAATCTCGACTCTTCGAACGCGTCGCGCTCGGCTGCCAATAGCGTGTAACTGGATGCCAGGTAGGCGCTTGCCTCGTTTTCCGAGGAGGCGTTCCTCTTCGAGATGGTTTTCTTTACTTCTGGCCTGTGTGCTACCTCACAAATGCCTCTGTTCTGAACACCAGTTAATTTTGTTTTATTTTTCATTAGTAATTACGAATATGAAGATGTCAACTTAATCTTTCTGTAAAAAACATGCTAAACTACAACAATACAACACTTGTGTTGTGTATTTTTAATTTTTTTCTTTAAATTTGATAAAAATAAATAATAAAGTGAATACCAGTGACATCTACATTTGATATATTCGGAGTTTTGATTTTATTTTATGTTTTTCAATGCATACAGCGACATCTAGCACACTTTAGAGTAAAGTAGCAAGAAAACTAAAACATTGACGTAAATAAAACGGTAGATGGCGCTGTATGTCTCAAACAAAAGTATTTTATATTTTGCTCGAGCAAATTTTTATTTTATCGCTGTTTCAGCTTAATTGGCTTGATAAACATTCATTGATTCATCGTGTCTTTAAAAATGATTACTACAGATATTTACAATTGTGAAAATGGACATATAAACACACTAGGCAAACAATTCTATTCTAATGACTGTAATTGTTATTTACAAACTTGAATAAATTGATTTTTAAATACGTATCACGAAGATGTTTTTGTTTCTGCACACACTCGCACTATGTAATTAGACACGAAGATACGAATACGTTGACAATGCCAACATTGCAAATTTATTTCCAGGAGAATTAAACACAGAATACCTCACAGCTTGGCTGCCAGGCGTTTTACAGTGAACTAATTACAAGAAATTAATTATAGATATTACACGAAAAATAAGAATATCGTCGAAACTAATTTAATCATAATTCCTTGTTCGATCCAATGATCATTTCTACGCACAGCAGACACATTTTTTACGCCCTCGTCCTCGTGTATTGCTGGTAATTAAGACCGAAAAAATATTCTAAAAGGTAGCAACGTGGAAAACGCCTTTTGCCTCGAACTCAAAGTGCTCGCCCAGTTTCGAAGTAGCCGCATTATGACAAACATAAAAAAATTTTACTGGTGGAAATTTCAGTCCCGCCCGAGTCCGGCGATAACAAAACAAATTTCGTCCAAGTTGCTCATTCTATTAGATAACAAACAAACACCCGCACACATTGAAGAATTGTTATTATTTCATCAATATCACAAATGAAATAAAGACCTTAATCATAATTATGTGTTATGTGGTGTTTTCCTAGTAATAAATGTTTGAAAATGATGAGAAATGTGAAAACAAAGTTCACGACCGCTTTCATAATTTATCATAATTCCAAAACGCAATTCGGAAAGAGCGCGCAGTGTTGTTGTTTTCAGCATTAGAATATTGCACAATTTTCGACCTAAAAAATCCATTAGCGCCGGACGCGATGGACACCACATCGTGACACACTAGAAACAAAAACCTCCGAGCGTGTAAATAAATTTCTTTCGACGCTTTTCGAGCATGTAAACAGCGCGCACACATTTTCATGTTTAATTAGACGCATTACGCATTCGTTAACGATGAGATAATTCGATGCATTCGAACAGAAAACGGCAGGCGTCGAGTTCAAACTGAAACTGAACCGAACTGAATACACGGGTCTATCTATTGAAATTCATACTAGCAATATGAAATACCACCAGAGTCACACTTGTGACATTCATCGTAGTTTTATATTTGCTGCGTAGTGCATCGAACGCAGTCCGACTCTGCAATAAGACACATTCGTGCAATGAACTTGATTCTTGACTCAGAACATTTCTAGTATAATATACAATTCAAGTGAGCGAACTTATTCAATTTTTATATATATATATATTACTGACGTTTGTGTTGGTGTGTTGCTTCTCTCCTTCTCCGCGGAAACCTCAATGAGTGTGTTGTTTTTGTATTAATCTTTATTAATGTGTAATCACGAACAGAAGTTTCGACGCAGGCAATTCGCTGGTTGGTTGTGTTTCATGAAATACATACTCGTAAATGTGAGCCAGAGAATTAAAAACCGGCCACAGAGAAGGAAACAAATAATAATCCATAGTTCTATAAAAAGACCCCAAACGTTATACGTTAATTAATATCTATTTTATGACCCGCTTCTTTTTTGTGCGCGGTGCGCGGCGGGACGGCGGGAATCAAAAATTCTAAATTCACGCCGTCGACATTCACGGTTTTTCGGTTTCTGCGTTGAGTTTGAGAACGCTGCGCAACACTGGCACTTTTTGCCTCCTTTTTATATTTTTATTGTATATTTATGTATTATAATAAAAAAGGTAGTCGATCGAATGCGCCGTTATTACAGCTTCACCAATAGGCGAGTGAGTTAAACGCGCTTGGGATCTCACAGACGCTCCGCGCTTATACGGGCGAATAAAAACGAAATTCTCGACATTAAATTTTTCATCGTTTTCATCGAAACATGTATAAAGTAAAAATTTTCGAATCGTTAAAGCTTCGCTGGCGAGACGCCGGCAGCGGGGAGTGAGAGGGAAGACAAACGGGCGTCGAGACGCCCGCCGCCCCGGTTTGCAGCTCGAAAAATGAAAACGCAACTAAAAAATAAAAATAAAAACAAGAAAAAACACCACCGCCACCAGCAGCAGCAGCGCCAGCGCAAAGCACGGAAAAAAGTTGATTTCTTTCGATTTGTTCCGCGACCGAGAGGGCCACGTCGCGTTGTTTACGACGCTTCGGCGGCGGGCGCGACGTGTGGATGGATGCACGCCGGTGTGGCGGTGGGGGCCTGCCCCAGGGCGGAGAGGTGGCGGGCATTCTGAAAAATCCACACTTCTTTCCGAAGATTTTTATACGACATTTTTTTAAGACGCACGGTATTGATTCGCCTTAAAGGCTCGGCCCCGGCGCGGCGAATATTACCGCCGCTCGCCGCCGCCGCGGACGCGGGCAGGCCGGAGAGATATAGATGGTTTATAGGGGGTCTCGGCGCGACTTCTATTGGCTCACTGACTCGTAAAAAAATAGAATAGAACGACCCCGAAAGGCCGTGCCGTGTGCTGGAGGAACGGCGAAAATGTCACACAGGGTGCCCCATGAACTTCCCAAAACATAAAAAAAAACATTATTATTACAGTGCATTAAATTTTAAAATAAACGCAAAACAAGTTAAATTTTAATGAATTAACTTTTAATTGTTAGATGATTAAAATTAAAAAAAGTGTAGAATGTTAATTGGTTGCGGAAACACTAGGTGTGTGGTGATGTTAGCGTACCGCCTCAAATTTTTGATAGAAACCTGGCAAAAAGTTGAGCTTTTTTACGCGCCGCGCCGCCCCCTCGCGACTCGCCGGTGTGGACGACGGAAAGCGACCGAAAGCAACGGCTGGGATGAGCGCGCGCGCGAGGAGTTAAAAGTACGTAAGCCGGAGTCGGCTGGAGCGCAGCGCGAACACGCCGGGCGGCTAGTTGCTAGTAAAAACAAGATAAAGCAGACCGCGCCGCACCACGAAAAGAAACACGCTCGCGACGCACACATACATGTGCGCACACTCTGGTGCGCGCACATAAAATATAAAAAAGAAAATCGAGTAAAAAGAAGGCATTTTCCAAATGACTGAACATTCGATGGAAAAAACGCGTCTCGCAGCGAGCTGGCCGAGCTGCGGGCACGACGCGGACGACACATCGTGCGAGCGCTCCGCGTATTTTTCGAAAAACTCCGTCAAACTCCAAACTCTGCCGTAGAGGTTGGTTCGCGGCGATAGGCTGCGCTACGTTTTTGTTTACGATCGCGTTCGCGCTGCGTGCGGCTGGCGGAGCGGCGAGCGGGCGCTCAGCGGCGCACTTGCCGAGTACACGAGTGCCGAGTACGCGCGGTCGCGACCAACGTCGAAAACTCAAAAACAAAACGATCACGAAACATTTTTCTAATAATTCAAACAAACACACACCGGCGACGAACGCGCGAGTGACTAAACACGAGCGCGCTAACCCAAAATAAAGAAATATTTCCGACTGTCGTCGTCGCCGTCTGAATGTGCGCGCAGCTCTAAGGTGTTATTAATTAAAATTAACCAATTAAAAACGATTAGAAACACTTAAAATGTTTAAAACGCTAGTGACCAATTGGACGCGAAGTGTGCAAACGCTCGGCGGGCACGTTCAACTGCGTCGAAATTAATTTAGTAATTTAGCCTGTTTTCCACACACAACAAAACGCTGCTACAAAACGTTGTCGTTGTTGCGTTGATGTTGTTTTTTTCGTAACGTGTGCCGAACATTTTTCGCCCCGACCGCAAACTCACAACAAATGCGTCGGAGGACGTTCGTCAGTTTCTAGAATCTAGTAGAAGGAGGACGTGCTCACAAAAAATAAATTCGAGTATTGATTATTTTATATTATATTCTTATATCTATATACATATTTCTATGCCACATATTTTAATATTACACTACACGTATACTCGCACACACACACTGGCTGTCAGACAGAGATGGAGCTCTTGTTTAAAAAACTGCCTGCTTTTTTCAACAATTTTAAAACACTGACTCACTTCAGTTACTAGATTGGACTCATAGAATGTAGTCATAGTTTGTGTGCTTTTACTTTTTTTTAGTGAAAATGTTGCCTCAACAGTACTGTCTCCGATGGAGATATCACCATTCGAATCTGCAGACAATGTTTTCAACGCTGTTGGAACGTGAAGCTTTCTGTGATGTGACACTAGCTTGTGAGGGTCGGACAATTAAAGCACACAAGATTGTCCTCTCCGCCTGCAGCACGTTCTTCGACAACATACTCACCCAGTATGAGGAGAAAGATCCCATCCTCATCATGAAGGACGTGAAGTATGTGGACATCAAGGCCTTGGTGGAGTTTATGTATAAAGGAGAAATCAATGTGGATCATGTAAGTGGCTGTTTACAAGTTTTAGGTTACTAGATTACTCGAGAATGCAATAATATTCACTTGATATTCACCGAGTGTCGTTTGTTTACAGTGTCACTTGGCAACACTATTAAAGACTGCAGAAGAATTAAAAATTAAAGGCTTAGCCGAAGTGTCTTGGAAGGATGAGGACGAAAACAATCCAGAGATCACAAATACTAATGGGACTGGCATTCACGCCGCGCTGCAGAATGTATCAGCTGTGATGGAGTCGCCGGGGCGGACGGATACGTGCAAAAGAAAGCGTGGTCGGCCGCCCATAGACGATTACGATTATATGACGGCAGCGGCGACGGCGGCGAAGGTGCCCAACGCCGGTACAACCTCCGACGACTACTCCAATGACGCCCCGTCGCCGGAAAATCATTCCAGCTTCGACGACGAGGCGGCCAACTGTGATGACGATGCTGGCGACACGCTGCCGGCTGTTGTTCAGCAGTTGAAAGTGAAGCCTGACTACAAAATCAAAATGGAATATGTGAGTAAAGAAACGCGCTATCTTCGAACCCGTGTTACGATGCATAAAAACGAATTTGTTATTTATTTTTCTTCTATTTTGTTTCATTTGCATGCGTCGGCGCGCTTGACAATGTCAACGAAAGATAAGACTTATCGAATTTCGAAAATATCTGAAAGCCAATAGTAATTTGATATCATATGTACGTAATTCAGTTTGAACTGCTTTTGTTGATTTTCTATCGATTTCGTTGCTTCGTTAGACACATTGGGACGCCGAACTAGTAAAAAATGAAAACAAGAAAACAAACACGAAACGAGCGATCATTAAAGAAAGTAATTAAATAAATAATGATTTGAAGTTCGTTACGAATACAAAGCTCCAACACACATAACTTCATAAAATGATCAAAGTTTTTATTTGCTGTCTTAAAAACAATGTAAGAACCTAAAAAGTTTCTTATACAATTGATAAATACTCGTCGTTACTGATTTTGTTTCGTCTTGAATGCCATGCACAAGTTATAGCAAGAAATATTTTGCTTTAGATTTAATAACATTTATTTTTTAGCAATCTCATGACGATTCGGACGGTGGCACCACCACTGTCAATGACCAAAACGACGCATCGTCGCAACGCAATGAAGCCATTCCTGCCAAACATTACCACAACTCGACCAACTCCAATTCCCTACTGAAAGTGATGTCGTCGACACCTTCGGCTAGTACATGCAACCTGTCGGCGAGTGCGTCCGCCTCGCTGCTGACTGCCGCATTGGAGAAAGAATGGCCGGACGTGGTGAAGATGAACGATTATTTGAACACTGGCAGACGTCAGCAGTTCTGGGAGGAACCGTTCACGAAGCGCGTCATGGATGCCATCAAACACAAGAATCTCGAGATGAAAATCGCCGCCGAACTGCTGGGTGTCTCCTATGGCACCCTTTATGGGCGATATCGGGATGCTTACGGATGTTTAAAACATCCCTACAGGTGAAAACGTAGAACTTTCTTGCATGAAACAAGTACAAATGTTAAAGGAACTGTTTTGTTGGTTTAGAATTAAAGACTTTTGGACGGAACAAGGCCCAACCGACGTCTTACATAAGCTGAAGCGTAAAGAGATTACACTTTTTCGAGCCGCCGAACAATTAAACGTCACGCCGCAGACGCTGTCGAACTATCTTATATCCATGGCCGTTAATGAGTCCAACACGTCGGGCGCGCAGCCACCGAGCACCAACGACCAATACGAGGATATCGAATGGGACGACGATAACGAGGTGATTACTCCAGACGCGCTTTACCAACAGATCACCTCTGTGGTGGCGTCTACGAGCAACGTGCTGCCGAACTGCCCCGACATCACTATCATTAAAAAGGAGAAGATGGACACGAGTAGGATCAACAATAACTCTGATCATTCCGACGCAACGCACTGAAACTAACTCTTAGGTAGGTCGATAAAACGACAAACAAACTAACGACCAAAACAACAAAGTCAAACAAGTGTAATACAAAAACAACTAACTTCAAGTTGTACATTAACGTAAAACTATTCGAATGTTAATGTTCAACGAAGGATTCGATGAAAATCGCAACAATTTAAACGATAAGATTGAACCAAATAACAAATGTGCAAAAATCTATATTGACAATTGATAATTCCACGTGTCTACGTTTAGTATTTTATACAGACCAAAGTAATGAGTAATTTTTGTACGTGTCGCAGAAAAGTGCCGGTACTTTAGTTCGATGATGATTTACTTCATGCTGCATCATTTGTAAAAGGACGGCATTATATTTTACGATTACCTGCTATCAAATAGTATGGACGAATACAATTCATAATTCATGTATGCTATACAAAAATAACTTCAAATCTAATCCAGTTGAGTATGAAGCAATAATAGAAAACCGTAACACACATTAAATGCCTGTTACAATAGACTTATAAAAACATACATAATACATTCAACAAAGTAGTGATATGAGAAATACCAAATAATAAAATGCATCAAACTTACTCCTCTAAGTTAACGAATAATTGATAATTAAAGAGCTTTAACTTTTTTCTTTCTAATCAAATATTAAGGAACATTATACACGCGTACTGTTATAGCGAGTATGCCCGCTTGAAAACGACGCTTTTCGAGCACATATAAAACCTATGTATATTATAATAACGTAACTATGTATTATAACTTGATATCAAAGGCATTCGTATGCAGACATGAATATTACATGACGCGTTATAGAAACCATATTATACACACCTTATTAACATTATGAGAATTAATATATATGACGCAAAACGGGAAGCAGAGACAGAGAAGAGATATATTTAGCTAGATAGATTGATAATGATGATCATATGAAGATAGGTAGATAGAAATTATATACTTATATAGGAAAAGAACTATTAAATTCGCGATATTTTCGTATGGTATCTGAGTATCTACATAACTAATCATTGTGTCGATTTGACGAATTTATTTATGTATCATTCTATTATTGGCTGAGTATAGGCACAAACTGATCAAAACAACACACACAAACTGGCATGCTTCTTCAATTGATGCTTGAAATATGGGAGAAAATTAACGAAAAACATTGATCTCGACATGGAACACACATATGTTTAGTTTAGTCGTTATTTTCGCAAAACTATAATCGAAAATCCAAAAAGGTATCCAAAGTATTCTATAACGATCTAACATTTATTATTATACATATGTATTTTTATTTTTTTGTTTCTACTTTTTTGTTAGTGATGTTATCTTTAACCGTTTTCTATCTGCAAATGTTTATTATTTTTGTATATAACAAAATTTTTATTAAGTTTTCTAGTTTATTGCCAAGTTGATGTGTAATGCAATATTCCTCTGTTCGTTTTTATAACTTATTCCGAACAGCGTATTAGTTGTTACCTTTCTTTTTATTCGTGATTGAAAAAATCAAAAAAATACAATGCTTTATCATTCTTAGAAATCGTTTATTATAATTATGATGTAGATGATGAGAAAATATTTATGTATGTAAAATGAATTATTCCTATATTCACAAAAAGCGTATATTGAATAATATCTTTAAAGAAACAATGATGAAGTAATAAAGAACAAGTTCGTGAAACGAAATTAATTAATATGTATTGTATAATGAACACATATCAGCGATACCTGAAACAACCATTTTTTTTTTAGCTGAATTTGGGTTGCTTTGTATAAAAATTTAATTTTTTTGTAAATATTAATGAAGTGTAAATATATATCAGCACTGAAAACGTGTCGTGGCGCTGCGAACTGAAAAATATGACGAAGCGCGTCAGCGAAATATTGATTATCTTCTCTAAAAAAAGCATAAAAAACGACATTTTCAATGTAATTAATTTTTTGTGAGGAGAACGTAAGAACAGCGCTAGCAACGCGCACGAAAACCAGACAAGTTTATTGATTTTGTTACGGAATATGTATAAAAAAATGAAAAAAATGAGAAGCTCGTGAAATATTATGTAAAATTTTTTTTATAGTTCGTAAAAATGTGCGGAAAGTTTTCGCGTGGGGCCTCGTCATTTTTATATAACACGCAAATGAAGTTTTCAGTTGCTTTTTTTTTATTGTGGTTCAAGATTATAAAAGAAGGTATTTTTTAATTTTTTTCTCGGTATTTTTAAACTTTGTCAATTATAAAGGAAAATATATACTTTAATTCAAATTTAATTTGTGTCAAGGATTTGGATGCCTTTGTCTGAAAAAATAATATTTTAAGCTCTTTTGAATGCGAATTTATAACTTTACACTCTCGTACTTAAAAGTACCATTTGCAATTTATCATTAAGTAAAAAATTGCAAATTTTAGAAACAACCCAAATAGTTATTTCAAAACTGAATCGTGGCGCCATCTGTTAGGCAACCAGAGTAACATTTCTAATGTTTTAGCCGTGTGCGCGCGGAGAAGCACGATCATGCTCCGAGCTTTGAACGTGCGCCTGCGCATTCCACAAGTCCGAGAAATGTGCTTAGCCCTAAAAAGTATAAACAAATATTCTTAGTGTCTTAGTAGTATTTACGACGAATACTAGATCTATATGCAAAACATAATGTATAATAGACGATAAAGTTTTTGAAGGAATTATAGTTTTGGCCGAAACCGAAACTGAGGCCGAAACTGGCCGAAAACGAAACTGACATTTCGGTCGGTCTCTAGTTTATAACCTATTCGTAATTGTAAACAAAAATGGGTCGAAGTACACGAAATTCACAATCATACTCACAATCACAAAATCGTTCTCAAATAAACTACAACGAACATAATAATATCGATGATGATGAGAAAACAAAACGCATCGAAGGAGCAGCCTCAAAACTGGTCAGCTATCTCTTGCACAACCTGGACAACACCAAGATTTTGCGCCAAACTCAAATTCAAAAACATGTTGCCGTAAAAGGAGTTAATTGGAACCAACAACTAAAAGCTGCAAATTTGCGACTAGTGCAACTGTATGGATGTGAATTGGTTCCATGTGATGATCCTTCTGTGAAAGCAACCTCTTACTATGTAAAGAAGCTAACACCACACATCAACATATCAGATTATAATGTTGAACACAAGAGAAAAAAGATTGTTACATTTTTATTGATGGCTATTGTGTTTATGTTAAATGATAAATGCAAAGAACAACAAATCTTTCAATTATTTACCAAACTGAATGTAATTGATGATGATAATGATAGTGAGAGTTACATCAAAGATATGTTGAAAGAGTTAAGCAGTAGTAAAATGATAGTCATTGAGAATGAGTGTGTTTCATGGGGACCAATGGCAGATGTTTTGGTGAATAAAATGGAAATATTAGAATTTGTTAGTAAAGTATATGGAACCAGTGTGGAATCCTGGGGAGAGTTGCATGATAGTGCTGTGGAGCAAAGAACATTAAATCAGATGGATGAGCAGGATGTTGTTAATGCTGATGATTGTGAAATGGATGAAGCTGGCCCATCGCAAAAGTCATAAGATAGAAGAATTTGTATTTTTCTACTTCAATCTAAAACCTTAATGAAACTTAGAAGCTCAATGTACACTCAAATATTGTATTTTGTCGATTAAATCAGTTTGAACAACATGTCTAAATTCCATTTATTTAATTGTACTTCTAAACAGCAAATATGAATGTTTGCAGGCTATCAATATAAAAACAAGTTTGTTGTTATCTTAGAGTCAAACAAACGCGATTAAAGTGCAGCGCTGAAGACGTTTCAACTAAATCTACACGTGGTGATAAACACGCAGAAATTTGTAATGTTCTGAACGGCGTCAACCAAATTAAGTGTGCAGTGATCATCACATCATAAATTAAGTAAAATATTTTAGTTTTGACGTAAGTATATTATTATATTTAGTTGAAAACAAGTGTTTGCATATATGTGTTTTTAGTATGCATCAAAGGAAAGTGAAACAGTTTCAAATATTAAATCAACTGAGAATAGAAGCACACTCAATTATTTGTGCGCACTGCAAAAATTGGCTGACGAAACAAATTTATCTGTATACCGATGGAATAACAACAAGTAATTACTGTCATTTATGTTCTTTGCCAGATCACGCAGAAGCGCGGCAAAATATTGCTCTGGAGAATATTCTGAATGGTTTGTTATTTCCATGTGGAAATCGATATTGCGAGTTTGTTTCCACGCGAAATAAAGTCGACGAGCATGCTAGTGAATGCATTCATGCACTTAAAAATGAGTGTATGTTTTGTCCTGCACCAGCAATGAGTTTATATAAATTAGAAAATCACTTGATGATGGACCATGCAGAAAAAATTGTTGCACTAGACGTGCCTGTTTTAAAATTAACAATGAACGAAGTATCGAAAAACGATATTATTGTCGCGACTTTATACGAGCATGTCTTTTTAGTTCACATCAGGCTACATGAATCCACTTTAAGTGTTAACGTCGGAAACATTAAGAACTTTTACAGCATAAACTTGTCAAACAATTTTGCGGTTTATTGTAGGAATGGCACAACTGAACGAATATTTCATAAAACTTTTGTCTCTTCTTCGGAAGTTAAACTTGATACAAATTATAATTTTGATGTTAGTGTAGAGAATGACAGGACACTTAATGTGGATATATATTTCTGTGACGTTGATAAGGTAGTTAAATTGGATGCATGCCCAAATTGTAAATCAGATCTTGGATTAGAAGTGTATCAGTGCGCCAACGGGCATAATGCATGTCTTCGGTGTGGAATCAAACTCAATGCATGTACAATTTGTTATAGCATTAATATAAATTTAGTGAATTTGCGATTCTTGCTTCCAAATACGCCAATGTTATGTCCAAACCAAAGCAAGGGTTGTCTTGCGGTTTGCAAAGGGTATGAACACGACTTTCATGCCAAAATTTGTTCCTACACTACCGTTCAATGCGTGAAATGTAGCCACAGATGTTTGAAACGTACTATTTTTTCCCACATGGAATTCTCTCATGGCTTATGTTTCAATTTTAAAAAGTTTTATATTGAAGACACTACTTTTGATTTTGATAATTGTACATATGTAGGATTTAAAAAACAAGTATTTGCGTGTAAATATAAAAGTTGTGGCACCGGCAGTACGAGAAAAATCTGTTTTGCATTACAACTATTATACAATGACATAATTGAAGACGTGCAAAAGTTCAGATACGAAATTCATCTTTTAGACAAAAAAGATGACAATGCTTATTTGATACTAAGAGGTGTTTGCCAAAGTAGTTCTGATGACAATATATCTTTGTGGTGTTATTATGATATGTGCCGTAATTTATTAGTACAGGGTGATATGTGCTTTCGTTGTGTAATTGTTGAAGCAGATCGTAAAACCGATGTAAAAATGTGACGTTACACATGAAGTAAACATGAGATATAAGTGAATTTCACTGTTTTAACCAAACAATACAACAATTTATTGTTAAACTATAATTATTACTATTTGACTGTATTTAAACTACGAACAAACAAATTATATTTTAAATCTTTTACCAATGATTTCACCATTTTGTATCGTTTTTTAATGGTGCGCCCATATTCGTCCTCTTCTAAAAGCTCCAATTTTGATTTGTTCTTCATAATTTCCTTCTGTCCCTTCAGATAATCTGATAGCACAATGATTTTTAAATCCAATGTGAAATTATCAAAATTTCCCATGTCAAACAGTTTTTTCTTATCATCTGCATTTAACTTGTCTTTCATTTCTATAATTCCATCATCAATAGAGCCTTGGAGATCAACATATTCCCACATAGATGATTTTGATACATTTGATGCAAACTTTTCATAGTCAAATGACTTCAGATAAATTTCTTTAAGAATCTTGAATTCTTTGTCATTATTAAATTCATCTCCTTTAAGAATATTATAATATTCAGGGTCACAACTTTGCTTGTGCACCATATCCTTTAACAAAGAATAAGACTCTTCGTTTTCTGTCTCTGGCAGTTGAGTTTTAGATGTATCAGCTTGTTCCTCTTTGAGTTTTTGCAGGGTCATCTCAAGTGAAGTCTGTATTGTGGATGATTTTGGAACATCCTTTTTCTCCTTAGTGTTTTTGTCAACTTAGTCAAATGTATGCCTTCACCCTCTGGCTTCTTAATGATATCATTAATGTCGAGATGACCATCTTCCAACTGCTTCATGACAGTATCATAACTATGTCTAAACTCTAATTCAATCAGTTCACTTGGTTGAATTTCAGGAACTTCATCAGGAATTTTACACCATTGTAGAGCTAGAAACCGGCATGTTTTTGCAATGTATTTGAGGTTGATGTGGGTTTCTTTATCATATATATTTGGTGGTGCCAATTCATCTTGTTCCTCAAAGATCAGGCTAGTTCCAAGTGATTCTTCATCAACTTTAGCTGAAATTCATTATTAAACATGTACAAATTAATATAAAAACTATTTAATAATAGTAATCCAATTTACCTCTAAAAACATGATTTCCAATTTGGATGTAAGGTGTTTTTGTGTGCAAGTTCACAATTTTGAAGAAAAGATTGGGTTTGTTAAAGAACTTTTGTTCAACTGGATCTTTGAAACCAAGTAATAAATATTCTTCTTCGTCTTTAAACTCCATCCTAGTAAATTGTTGTTACCTTGACATTCCTAATTTATAGAAAACAAATTGTTTTGATGCGAACATGTATCTCGTTGACAGTGTGTGGTTAAATTCACTGCACGGTACAATGTGTGCGCAGCGTAAGTTGTGGGAATAACCGACTCACGCCCTGAGCTCTAAACAGGTAATACTTTGCATTTTATTCTAATTCAAACAATTTAATAACTTCTACAATAATAACAAATAGAATTAACACCATGGAGCAGTACATTGAAGAATTCAACAGCCTCAATCATTCTAACTTCAAATTGAAAGATATATTCTGTTCAGCATGCAAGGAAGTGTGTAATTGTAATTGTGTGAATCCCACAATTAAAGAATTGCTAAGGGACATGCAATTTCCATGCAGATTTGACGACTGCAGCTTTCAAGGAGTATTGTCTGATTTTCATGAACATGGCAAAGAATGCAAATATGGACCATTTAAATGTCTATTAGACAATCAACTGTTTGATAAAGCTGGCACATTTATAGAGCATTTCACAACACATGAAAATGTGCGAAAGGAAACACTTGATTTACCATATACTACAGTTCATTTAAATCTGACAGAAAGAAAAGATGAAATAATCTTGATTGATTACAAGAAGAATTACTTCATAATCATTATAAAATATTTGGAAGATACTATTTCATTCAAAGTGGGGAAACATTTGGCTTATCCATGCCCTTCACTGAAGACATTTACATTGGTTCAAAAATATGAAAAAGGTCAAGCTTATCAGAAAGAAGAAATCTTACCACTTTTGACTCTACTTAACAGTGAAGAGAATGACAACAGTTTATTATTGAAGACAGTGACCTTGGCACCAGATGCTGAAGTGACAATTCATTTTTATGATTTGGAAAAAATGAGGATTCAACTGAATGATTGTCCAATTTGCTACAAGCCATTATTTGCTGATATAAGGCAATGTCTTAATAATCATGCATTTTGTGTATCTTGTGCATCTAAAATGGCTACTTGTCCAATTTGTAGAGAAAATATAACTGACTTTGAAGTTAGTTTAAAACACATTCTATCTGACCACAGCTTTTCATGTATGAATGAAGATGAGGGTTGTCTTGAACTTATAAATTTGAATGATAAAGCTGTACATTCCAAGTTATGTGCATTTCGTAAACTGCTTTGCTCCGATTGTAAAGTAGAGTATTTGGCTCATCAATTTTGTGCACATTTTATGGAGAAGCATAGGATAATCAATAATTTTTCTTCTTTAATGTTGACTTTTAAGACAGAATACACATCAAGCGTCTATGTACTGTATAGATCAAAACTGTTTTGCGTTAATATGAAATATGCTAATTCAACTTTACAATTTTTGGTGGAGTTAGTACATTATAACGATGATTGTGCCGCAAAGTATAGTTACCAAGTTATTTTAAAAAAAGACAATGATGTGATTGCAAGCATCGGTAATATTTGTGTTGGAAGGGATTTAAACGACAAACTAAACGCTGCCAAAACAACAACTACATACTATTCGACTATAAATTTAGACTTATGCAAGGCACAATTTTATCATATGGATACATGGATAATAAAGTGTCAATTCAAGATTCTTCTTAATCAGGGCAGGAACTCAAATTTAGAAGTTTTGTCAGAAACTGTACCTGAAGTTCAAGATATATCCCAAGGATTGAAACGACTAAGTTTCTCAAATTTAATTGTGAGACGTAAAGAATATTCGAAATCAGCATCGATTAAACCAGGATTTCCATTATCTCACTGCCCATTTTCCATGCCCGGAGGTCAGGTCGACCTTTCTGCACCTTCCACTTCGCGAAGCACGCCTGTCTATGATGTAAACAAAGTGATGGTATTTGATGCTGAACAACTTAAAAGTAGTATTGAACCGAAATCGCGCTTTAGATTTAAATAAGTTATTTTTAATATGAACATATAAATATTTATCTATAAACGTCTATGTATGTATTTTCTAAGGTAGAATAAACTTCGCTTGAAATTACAACTTCGTTCATATGTTGTTCTTATATTTGTATGTTTCAACTTACTCTTGACTATGATGCAGAACTCCTTTAAACATGTTGGAAGTGAATTAAATACTCATCGAAAGTTACTATTAATCTTAAATTTCAAGAATAGCATCATATACTTTATGTTTAAATACAGACAGTTATATTTCCGACCTTACTTAAATTTGGTGCACAAATCACTGTATTATCTAAATCCTTAATAATTTAGGATTTCTCGACGTAATATATTAGTGTAAGAGAACCTTTATCATGTGCAAACATTTCCCAAACTTCAAATCTTTAGGAAGTGTCTTAAAATTTCTTTCGAAATTTATTATTTGTCTCAAGAATTTAATAATATTAGCTAAGAAATATGATTCACTAATGTGTATCACCGAAAATAGTGCTTATCATGTTATTTTAAACAACAATGCACATTTAAAAATTTTAATTCGTTTGTTTTTGTGTTTAAAAAACGTTTATCATTAATTTTTGCGACTTATCAACATGTGCTGGAATTTATGCGATATATCTCATTAAACTAATTAAAGCTAAAAACAAACACAAAAATTTTTGGCAAAATTTTAAATGAAATAGTTGTAATAGTGAATGTTAATTATGTACTTTCAATTTTTAGGTAGGTAGGTATATAAACAGCCTGCAAGTCAAGCTGCTCATTCATAAAACGTTGCAGCGAAGTAACATAAAAAGAAAATAATTCATTTTTTTTTACCATACTGTAACAATGCTACGAATTCAACACTTATTACTCCTCATCTTCGGCATATCTACTTCCTCGGCATATTATTCTTGTTCGGATGACAACACTGACTCCTTCACGGACTTGATCAATTCCAAAGACAATCTTGAAGACCTCCTTGAAGTGGCCAAAGATGCCAGCGCTAACATGAGCGCAGCCATAAAAGACTGGCAGAAGGAAGTAACCGATGATCTGCAACCAACATTAGACGACATATATAACAAGTTATACGATATCGAAGATAAGTATTCCCAGACTTATGGCGATTGTGACTACTTTAAGTCGTTTAGAGAGTACGCCTTGCACAGGCGACAGAACGCAGAGTTTCGTATAACGCATCTCTTCGCAATTGAGCTGAAAGAGAGATACCGACAAGATAATAACAAAAACATTAAATATATTGAAGATTTGATTGAAAAATGCGATGATGATAATGATAGCAATGAGTGTAAGGATAAAGTAAAGAATTCAAAGAAAGAATTAGAAAGGATTAGAATGTTCTTCTGTACTTTCGTAAATGCCGAGCAGGAAGTGATTAATGAATGTAAGAAAGAACCGGATAACGTACAAGAGGGAATTAAGGCAGTTGACAAAAATATTGAGGATGAGTGCAAATGATATGTTAATCATGAGAAAAACTTCAATTATGAACCTGTAACGAATGGTACAAAATTACACTGTTTAAACTTTATAAAAATTTGTTAGTTTATTAATTATCCCATTTGGTCCTGGCTTTTCATAGCAATAATTGCACAGAAAGAAAAGCAAACTTGACAGCCTTACTTTGCGTATTTGTTTGGATTTTCAATTATAGATGTCGCTGCAAGTTCTGTCTAATGACCAAGAGCCAGTGACGGCCAGACTTTCGTCATTTTAGGAAAGAGGAAATTTTGTCCATGTGTTTCTCCAGCACAGGTAAGAACAATCCCCAATTATGAAACCTGGATCGTGGTTCCTTTGGCAGTTAACAGCCAACAAAGATGTAGGTACACATGATGACCTATGTTTCGTTATTTTAGCAAACTCCATTTTGCATATTTTGTTCGTCACATTATTATAACATGCGCTGCTCATTGCCAGTCACCTGGTATGGTTCCAACCCTAGCCAGACACCCCTAAAGTATATTTTTTTTAACTTTTTTACTTTCGTTATATTAGGAAAGCTGAATTTGATACACATTATACAGAGAGCTATAAAACTGTGTTTTCCAGCACGCCAGACAGTTTGGTCGGTTCTATCTGCCTGCCAGACGCATTGAAAGTGTATAAGAGTTGCAAAATTGAATTGTTTATACATGAAATTTTCGCATAATAGTAATTTTATTTCAACAAATATTTAATAATAATCATCACTGTTATCGATATCTCCATTTTCGCCATCTCTGCAACTCCGGTCCGATGTTTGATCGTTATCAATATCGCCTGCTCCAAGACTTCAAATGTTCATTGATTCATACTCGGTGTCAGATGTAAATGAAGCTTTTAATAAAAAAAAAATTGCGCAACTTTGATGCTAGCAGCTTACCACCTTGCAAAAGTGAGCTACTTCAACAATTTTTGCGAGCGAATTATATATGTTGTATATGGAACAACGCCCACATGCAAAACCCAACAACATATGAACCAGCCAACAATGGTTGGGTTCTGGAACAAAACAAATACAATTTTAAATGGTTTGCAGGAGATCAACTACCAAATGATGTCAGTGAATCTCTTAAAACGTTTCCAGGCATGTAAAAATTCTCTACCATTATTTTACATTAATTTGTGACTGTTTACAAGAAAATTAACAAGTTTTTATTTTATTTTTGTATAAACAGACGGAGCAGGCGATATTGATAACGATCAAACATCGGACTGGAGTTGCAGTGATGGCGAAAATGGAGATATCGATAACAGTGATGATTATTATTAAATATTTGTTGAAATAAAATTACTATTATGCGAAAATTTCATGTATAAACAATTCAATTTTTGCAACTCTTATACACTTTCAATGCGTCTGGCAGGATGATAGAACCGACCAAACTGTCTGGCGTGCTGGAAAACACAGTTTTATAGCTCTCTGTATAATGTGTATCAAATTCAGCTTTCCTAATATAACGAAAGTAAAAAAGTTAAAAAAAATATACTTTAGGGGTGTCTGGCTAGGGTTGGAACCATACCAGGTGACTGGCAATGAGCAGCGCATGTTATAATAATGTGACGAACAAAATATGCAAAAATGGAGTTTGCTAAAATAACGAAACATAGGTCATCATGTGTACATCTTTGTTGGCTGTTAACTGCCAAAGGAACCACGATCCAGGTTTCATAATTGGGGATCGTTCTTACCTGTGCTGGAGAAACACATGGACAAAATTTCATCTTTCCTAAAATGACGAAAGTCTGGCCGTCACTGGCTCTTGGTCTACATGGTTGGTTTTAGTACTAGTAGCTTCCCGGGTGAAATTTTAACAACTTCTTGACTACATTTAAAAAATAAGAGCTGCGGTCTTACTTATAAGTTATAAAATTGGTGAGAGTACAAATACATCTGTATATGTTAGAATAAAAATAAAATATCTATAAATCACTAAAGTTAATATTTAAACAAAGACCGACAAATCGCAAAGTAATAAAAAAACATGAAGGTAGAAATTACGTTGGCGTCGCAAAAAATAACCCGCACACGCAAATTCTATAGCTCCGGTTGTTTTATCTTGCGCACAGTCATACACGAATACCAACGCTTTATTAGAGACTTCCACGTTGAATGTGGTTGAATGCTACAATACGGACACCCGAATGACAGTGTAATATCTCAGCGAGTGTATTGCCATTACCTATCGTGCTTTGTACGTCCATCGCGGCGTTAATTCTTTTCGTTCCAATCGACACAATCGAATATCGACCGCGAGTGAGACCAGCCTACAGGAATTCGATGTGGGAAGGCGGTCGCGCATGTCCTTACACAACGCGACATGTAAGAGATATGACGAGTATGCGATTTGCTGCCGGATTGTGAAGCATGTAGTGCGAAACATTTTATAATTTTCTCATAAACTTGCAGATTGCAGATTGGCCGGCACTCTGTTTGAAACATGCGCAGCTGGTATTATTACACCATCAATCTTTATCTCTAAATGTAGCCAATCAAGGAACATAATAACAGTAGGCAACAACGTGCATGTTTAATGCAGAAATGCGGGCATGCGCAATCCTGCTTTGTTATTAAGCGTTGAATAATAGGCGAGTCGAGATGATGATTTAAGCGTTTTATTCAGCGCGAAGTCATGTTAGAGAACTTTGTTCTACTTGCTAAGAAGAAAATATTTAGACAACACTAAAAGCACCCAGCTAATGTAGTGCAAAAATAAATTTAAACAAAAAAAAACTTTTTCTTGTGATAAACATCTTTCTTTACCTAAATAAATAAAATCAATCAACGATTAGCATTCGAATTGTTTCCGGCTGAAAACACATAAAATTGATTGATGGCGAATGAAATAATTCTCATTTACATAATTTGGAGTTGGCATGCGATGGACAGGAACGTGTTGTATGTGCAAGTGGAACGAACCCAACAGGTAAATTTAGCGCCCTGTTATTATGAAATTTATGACTTTCGCTTTTATTTTTGCTTTTACTTTTCTGTCGCGGTTCGCTTTTGTTGGTTTATTTGTGCATTTAAATATCCATATATGAATATATGCCTAATAGTAGAAAAGGAATAAAAGCTGCTGCTATTTTTAACCACAGTAAGATTATATTCAAGCTATATTCGTTTTATTAGTTTCAATTAATTAGAATTTTAGATAAAATTGGGTAGAATATACGTCAATCTTAATTTTAGTGCATATAAAGCACATTGTTTATGATAAGCTTTGCCGCAACGGCCATGAATAAAAAGAAGACAAGCAATTTTTATGACACCCATCAACGCAATCACAATGCCTGCGACGCAGGATAATAAATCACTTTCAAATAACTTACTGTCCACTGAATAATAAAAAAATTAAAACACTTGGATGAATAGTTTTTTTTAGGGATGCTATCAGTAAAAATATTATAATTATTTGCTCTGTATCAATATGGCAAGCCACTTCAAAGAGACACACTGAAAATAAAGCAAAAGGACACAAAGCTTTTTCGGGCAAGGTGCTAATTAAGTTGGATTCAATAATAAAGGAGTAAGAGGCGTGTAAATGGCATGGAACGGACGTTCGAAAAGCTTCTGTTTGACGTTGGCGGATGCGAAGAGCTCGCCGCACAAAGGCGCAGAGCACACAGAAGATGTATTAGCGTAAATAACGCGAACAAAAGGAATGGACCAGCGTAAAAAGCTCTCGAAATCTCACGGAGGTAAAAAGGGAAGCAGAGCCCGAAAGAAAACGAAAGCCACGCAAAGCATATTCAGCGGATAAAAACCGAAATTGACACAATTAAAAATACAAAAAGCGAACGCCCGAAGCTTTTGATTCAAGATAACATTGGTCAGGATTATTGATTTCGGCGCATATAATTTACGTATATAAAAAGTTAATTCAATTTGTTTACACACTCGGTAGCTTTGAAACATCTGAAACCCTAATGAAAACCGAGTCGCACCAAAAAAAGCAACTGTCAATTAGCAGCCGAAAAATAAAGGGTCTCAGATCGCGTCGACCACGCATCACTTAACTTGTTATTCAACTTATTATCTGCATACAAAACGAGAGCCTCTATAAATTCTACAAATTGACATTTTTGGAGGCCGTCTTCTCGATGAACACGCATTTTTAAACTCTTTCAAGCTAATGTAAAATTAGTTTTGAAGTCATTTTAGTCAATTTAAAAATATTTTTGTAAACACCCTGTAATATTGATACGAATAAAACAAAGATATATACCATGACAGTTTGAATATACATAAAGCACATGTCAATACCAACGTTTAAAGCACAAAGAACAACTGGATTGGAAAAAAGATCGAAAAACGCAGAAAAAAAGTCGCAAATTGTAAGGATCCAGACAGGACATTCATAATACGTTGCATGATTTATTTTTGCAGCGTGCAGCTTGTTCACAATATGCGCCTTCCAAAGAAATAAGTTTAATTGGCGAAGAATTATAATGCGCATTAAATGATAATAAAATGTTTGCCCGCGTGAAGGATGCGAATGGTGGAACGTCGGTGAAGTCGTGCGAGCGTTTTGTCGTTTGTTTTAAAGACCCACGCCACTGTGGCTTTGCTTATATTGCGATCATTAATCTATGTTGATGTATCTACTATAGGCGTAATTGAATGATTCGACGGTTGGTAAAAAGTGGGCCTTGCTCGATTGGAAAATTGTTTAATTTCAATTTACCACTGCGGGCTTGCGAGCGCGCAACGAAATGCCCATTGATCATCGTAGCTAAATGTCTGTTATTATTGCAGTACACGTGGTACGGGGAGCGGGGAATTTGAGACTACGAAGAGGCAAAAGAAGACATTTCTCGATTGGTCTGGCCGTTTAGACAAGAAGACATATCGAGATGGTTCTTTGTTTAATTAAGCGTAAAAACAAAGCGGTGGACGCGGACTGATTGTATCGAAATGAAGAAGTTTATAATCGCACAGCAGAGATGGGAATCTAGATAATTCTGTTGTTTGTTTTATAGAAGAGAGTTTTTAAATTTATTTTAAATCCAAAAGAACTAGCTATATTTTAGGAATTATAATAAAAAAGGAAAGATGATGAAAAATATTAATTTTACCAAAAAGTAAATGTTTTTTGTTGTTACTGAGACAACTTTTTGGTAGTAAAAGTCCTTTAAGGACAAAATCACCTACAATTACAAAAAACTTCAAGAAGTTGTATAAAAATGGATTACAAACAAAAACTGCGATAAATTTAAATAACAACTTGAATTACTCAAATTAACATCTTGTTAAATTTTGTGGAGGCGCTGAGCTTAATATATACATACACAAAATAACCCTATGTAATAATCCCACCCAATTTAACCCTATGATCAGAATCATGTATTTTTGGATTTTGTTAATAATACACTACTTGCATAAAGCTCAAATAAAGCTTGCAATTTTCTACGCTTAAGCGCCGCAACTAAACGTTAGAATTTACTATTGGAGAGAGAGTCAGACGCGTGTGGTAGGCACGAACCCACCATTTCCGAAGCGTTCGCGCGCGTTCCTTCGACGCCGTGCAAAGCCAGAGCGGCGCGAGAACGCGAGAGCGTAACAGCGGCGCCGAGAGTCGTCTTTTTCACGTAATCGCGTAAACCAGCCACCGCGAGACGCGCGAAACGCAGGAAAGCCGGGCGTGCGTTGCACATGTAGTCCCTTCATCAAATATGTGCATTATTAGAATAGTTCACGATCAACAATAAATTGGCATTTTTTAAAGTAAACACCTGTGAACATCCTAGTGCAAAATTTCTATGGATACTGTGCGAGTTGTGTAAAGTGAGGGGCGAAAAGTTTTGGAATTTAATGTGCGTTCGCCGTTAGACGTCATTATAATTTAAGGTAAATTGAAAACGTTTTTCCTGCGATAAAATATTAAGTAATAAAATCTAAAATATCATCATCGATGCGGATTCCAATCCGGTGTGCGCGAGTAGAGAAATAAGTATTGAATAACTTAAGTCGCTTTGAAGTTACGTTAAGTTACTTAAGTCAACATGTTACTGAGTCAAGCCGCTGAGCGTTGCGTCGTCGAGCGAACACTTTCTACTCGCGCCGCCGCGATTACGATTCGAAATGCGACGTGTGTTCCTTTGCGTCCTCGGCGTACGATTCTCTTCTCTTGGTTAATCCGTAAATTGTTACCGCCGAGTCCTCACAGGAGAGTCTGGACTCTTCAAAGACTCAGCCTTACCGCATGCACTCAAAACTTTATAAACACTTGCAGGTGTAGAGACGAGGCGTGTAACTATGCTTAGAAAATCATTTCGAGAGTGCAGCATGAGTGGCATGCGTGCTCGAGCGTGCATACGGACACTTTGGAGATTACTCAAACGGCTCAAATCTTATGTAACAAGTTTGTGCCTTGGTGCAAGACTCACGTCCATCAATGTCTCATGCAGAATAGCATCATCAGCTTTGAGGAGTTCTTACTTGTTCAAGTTTATTACTTTAAACGGACGTTTGGATGTTTATGATGATGATTGCTCATTTTTATAAGCTGACATAATCTAATTAAGCAATTAAAACATCAAACTAAAGGTAAAATTGCCTAAAGTTTAATTATTGTATATGCAACCCACGTAGCATTGACATTTACATTAATGTATTGCAATTTTCAATATCATTTTTAAATATTACTCTTAGTTTTCAAAAACAAATTATTTTTCTAAATAAATAAATAACAGTTATAATAGCAAACTCATCGCTTTTAAATCAAGACGATTAACATTTGAAAGTGCGAAATTATTCAATAGCTTAATTAAAACTCTAATGGTATCCTTTTAATTTAAATAAAGCTATAAACAAAAAAGTTAAATTGCCGTTACACTTTTCAATTTTTTGTTTGTCAATATTGTTATTTATTACTATTGAAAAATACTTGAATCATATTGAATTGGGAGTGCTTAAATAATGATTTTTCTTTTAATTAGTTAAATGAATCCGAACTAAACGAAAGAGACGAAACACGTGCTAGAATATTAATTAGTAATGTACTGCGATAAATCAAACCGGACGATCTTATTACCTTAAAGAGTGTTAGAGAGTAGCTACACTTCATGGACATTAGAAACATTAGGATATTAAACCGATTAACTGCGGGCTTAGTATTTTTAATGACTGTTCATTTAAATACGGATGATTAATGCTCAGGCACCTAGAAATGTTTCCTCAGAAAAAAATGAGTTGTATTTTACAGAAAAAATTTGAAATTGTGAATGAGTCATCCAATTTTCTAAGTACCTGCTGTTTAAATCTGTTCAATAATGTTGGGAAAAAATAGAAAATTTGCAATATAAGTTGAGTGTGCTTAGAAACATAATAAATAAACAAGAAAAGTTTTAAAAAAATTATTTTTTGTTGATTGCTTTGCGATATACAAATATTTTCTATAAAATCTCTGCAGACACTTGAACTTAAGTGGAAATAAATGTATTTCTTTCATGTGTACACTATAGATTTATTGTAACCAACGATTGCGGTTCTTTTTAATGATATCATCTGTAATATCTGCACTTGCTGTGAAAATTTGGCCGCAATGATTTGTCCAGCTGTTTGACTCCCAGATGCAGAGTACCACACCGCGCCTAGCCCGCGCGAAGAACAAATGCGCGCATTAAAAATACAGTTACGACTTATTTATTCTCAACACCGCGCTGAGTGCGGATTCTGTGTGAGGCTCTTTAACGGCCGGTTGTGTCGCACTTTTTTACATCTTTATGATGAAGACAAGATCGTTCTCATTAAGTCATCCGCGCGGTTCCAAGTACCGCCGTACCTCAACTAAAGCATTTTTATGTTGTGCACTTAAGTAATTTTTTAACTGCCAAATTCTTAAAACTCCGAGGTGTGAAATGACATGCACAAAATACAAATGAATGAGTAATTTATTCAATAAGTTAGCAATTTCATTGGAATTGCTAAAGTAATTGCGGTATGATTTGATGTGCTTGTAGAGTAGGTAGATTCAATTTAGCAACTGAGCGCAACAAGCCACTTCACATGCAAATGATGCGCGTAAAGTTCGCGTAAGCAAAGTTAACGTTTCGTTAAGATCTCACACGTTTGTGTAATTCGTAATTATTCACCGGGCACAATGCGTTGCAACACGTCGCAATCGCGTTCATCGCATTCAACTCGCGTTGTATGCAGCGCAGATTACCCAAAGAAGATTTATTTATTAGCTACGTTTTCATGGCATTTATGTGCTTTTCCTACAAGTTTAAAACCTGCAGCAGTTGCTTACGTCTTAATTCTTGCTCCTAAAATTTCAACTTTAAATACCTCGCAAAGTTTTTATTTTAAACGAATGCAGTTTTAACTAAAACAACTTAAATAGCAGTGCTGGTTGTGGTCTTATGGGCCAAAGAAGACATTACGTAAGCTAGAATGTTGTGAACGTTGTGTTATTTCCGTTATTTGCAATTTCATGCTTTTGTGCCTTTCGGCGCAGCGGCGCGCGCCTGACTTGCCCAACTAACCCAACGAAAGACTCATCCAACCATCAAACTGACGTCTGTCTGGCCCTGGAATGAGTTGAGAACATTCTAATGCTTGAATTTCAAACGAAACCTAATGCCGTCCTGCGTGTACGCACACGCAAATACCCAGGAAAGATGTGTTTATTCTGTTACTAATCACACGAGTTCCGACGCCATTTGCATAATAATAATAACTGACTCCAACTGACAGAACAAACACTCATTTTGATAACTTCTTTCGCTACCAAAGAACGGACTTGTGAAATACGTAATTGTTGTACGGTTATAAAATACCGAATATTATCTAATCATATTATCGAATAACTTGTAACATCCGACTAAGTTTCTTTAAATATACGAGCCCGGTGAAAGTATGACAAGAATAAAATTATTTCTATTTATAGCGAATATTTACAGTTCATTCAAGGCATTTTTCTATAATTTTATGATTTTTATTTTATTTCTCTTTACTCCACATGTTAACTGTTTTTATTCTGCGCTTTAATGAGAGGTAAATGTTGAATCTTGCTAACAAGATTTAATAATTCCATTGAAATCTATGTCAACGGGTTTTATTATTTACTTTTTTTGTCGAAGTCGCAAACCGTTTGCAAATTTCTTGTTCTGAGATTTGTCTATTGTTAACTAAACTTACTAATATTCATGATAAATGCTAATAACTTGAAACGTACACAACGAAATTACATTTGAATATGAATAGACTGTAGGAAATAAAACGTGACATACGCGAATATGTGCGTGATGTCATAGTGAATATTAAATCTATTCACAACGAACGGTTTATTATTGACTTGACACGTTTACCAATTTTACCTGTGCATAAAAATTAAGTATTTCGATAAATATCTGATCTTTTAAACCTAAAATAATTTCATCTTGGTAAAGAATAAGACATTAATTTGACAGCTTATGTTTAAATAGCATGTCTGCCGTAATTTATACATCCAATCATTAATACTACCACGATGTTCGTGTAAAAATAAATTCATTAACTTTTTAATGACATAATAAGTTGAAAATAAAAGTGATGAACTTTGAGTCGCGCTGGATCGTGCTGAAAGGCGACGGACGCCATCAACCTTTACCTTTTTAGCTTTAAGTAATCCAGTGTAAAACAGAAAACAAACAATACAACAACAAGGCCTGGCCTACAGTACTCTCGCGGAGTAATCAAGTTGGAAGCAACGAAGCAACTAACGTCGATAACATTATAATAGTAATCATTATACATATGTTGTAGCTACAATCATGCTTTTTGCATGCGTCTTGTAACTAGTTTGTGCGTCGTCGCTGTTAATTGTGCTCGTACTACATACACGTGCTTGTTTAAATTATTATCGCATTATACATTTTAGTTTAAGGCTACGAATGGACGAATCTATGCGCTGGAGTTAATAAGATTTGCAAATAAGTTAAGTAGATTTATTTGGGTAGTGATTAAATTGCGAAATACTAGTATACCTATTTATTCTTAGGCTTATAACGCCATCTGTGTCTGGATTATACAACTAAAACTATGATAAAATGTCAATATCAACTTTTTTCTTTAATTTTACACCTTTAAAATTATTTTTTTGCAACAAAAAGTACTCTATATGCTTTTACTTTGTCAAAATTATCTTTTCGCCAAAATTTATCAAAATTCGCTGAGTGGTTTACACGTGAAAGCGTCACAAACATATAAAAAATACTTTTTATGGTTCTACATGCAGACCATTGCAGCGTGTAAAATTATAGTTACAACACGAGTCGGTTAGTGGAACTTGTGTTGGATTGACGCGGTAGTTACCCAGAAGTTGTCAAGGCTGAATTATTTCATTATGTTTTACATTATTTATGGATCAAATTTAAGCACACACAAAAAGAGTTAATTTAAATCGAAATTATGCGACTTAATTCAGATTTCGATTGGTATTAAACTCTGGTATATGTTTCGATGAAATCGAAAGTGGACCAACCCAAAAACACCAACAGCTGTTCCACTGTTGCAGCTTGTGCACGCGATTGTAATACCCGGCGGAGTGTTACGACATAGTCGACAACAGCAGAGTGTTCGCAGCGTTGTACAAAGCAACTAGCAACAAGTTGGATGAATGAAATTGAAATACGTGCAATACGTGCGAGCACATTTGTGCTCGTGCATGAATATTCTACGAGCATTTCAGGCGTTTCAAATTTGAAATGAAATCGAGATCGGCGCAGGGGATAAGCGCCACTGCATCCGTGAGTTGAGAACTGGCACAAAAGGCATCTCCAAGGCACGCCAAGTCAATTTCCATTCGCAAATTTTAAATGAAAGAAAAAACGAAATTTAAATCAAAATTTTAAATTAATTGAATAATTGAAGCCTTGGTCCAGTTAAAGAAATGTGTGAATGAAATAATAAGTTTCTCTAATTGAATGCTTATTATTATAATAATTATAATTCCAAAGAGCAAAGAATCAAGATTGTAATGAATTTATAGTGTTCATTGTCGGTAGGTGTTGTTAACGATCGCATTAAATCGTTCCAGCACACAACAATTTGTTGTTTTAGGCGACACCAAGGTTGCAAATCTTATTGTTTAACAGTTATACTGCTGGACATTGTTGTTCTCGTACTGCACCAGCGGAACGTTGGTGGAAGTTGCACAATTCGTATTAATTCTTCAAGTTATTAGCATTAAATTACGCCATGACTTTCAAATTTCATCCTTCACATCCCACCATAATAATTTTGCAACAAAACGATTTAAATCTTTCCAATATATTAACTAGGACCTGTTAAATTCAAAAATGAAAGTATTTTAGTGTTAATCAACGCCTAATTAAATTATTAATCGGATAAGTTAATATTTACTCGACTGTTGCGTTTTTTTACACACAAACCTAATTTTTACAACTCAATTATTAATAATTAACGAAATTATGTGCTGCGTTTTAATATGCTGACGGCGTCTAAAGGCATAATTAATTTGTTGTTAATTAGAGCACGGCACACGCGATGCTTTGGCATTCCGTCCGTTGATGGTTTTCCGGACGGTTTGCTCCGGTTCCTCGTTTACGCCGAAATTCGTTTCACGCCTGTTTGATTCTCGGTTCTTTATTGTATTATTCAATATTGCTCATTAACACATCGCAAACTTTCTTTCAGTTTGCATCTAAGCGCAAACTGTTAATTTAGTTTTGTTTACTTGCCAACTTGCATCAAAACTAATCAGGAAAGTGAATATTGTACAAAATGATTGCTTGTATTGCTTGAGTGATTTTATTTTCACTCTTTGCTACACTTATCCAACGATTTCACTTTTTATCGCGTTATAAATCACTTTTTATTGTTGCTTTTGTTGCGCTTTGTTTAGAATCTTCTTCCGCCCAACTTTCTTACTTAATTAAATGATTAATTTGTTAAATTTGTGTCTTCCCAAGCGTAAAATTAGAATAATCAATATTATTTCAGTATCTGTTTCTCTTACCGGCAGAAAATTGTATGATCGTATGCAAAATGATTTCCGGGTGAAATTTGCACCGCTGCACGTTGGGCCCGAAGCGTTGTCGATTGGAATTGTTCATGCTCGAAACAGATTATACATGCATGCATGCAAAGCGGATGGAAAGAAAACAAATCGTAGGAGCTTAGCGCGCCATGGACACGACCAGGCGCAAGATGGAATTCATTCAATGTGCATTCGGCTCATTCATTCGCGAATGTGTTCTAAAGAAGCGTCGATCTATGCTTAATGCGCAATTTACCATGAGTTACGAGGAGAAGATGTTCGGGTCAGAAAGCGTTCGTTAATAAATCGCAAAATCGTTATGAGGTTAGACCTCTTCCGCTTACTCCAATGTTTCAACATTGTGTGTGAAGAATAACTTTCGTTTTTGTTGAAATGAAATTATATAAACTGAGTATATTCTCACTTTCCATCTTCCTGTATACTTTGTACTTTATGATCACAAAACGTAGCATCGCCTTTGGCGTCGCTGACGATGGAAAACTTACGACTTTCCGTTGAGTAGCTCGCCGTTTTTGCTGTTTGGATCATGCTCTCGAACAAGTCGGCTTGTAACGATACGAGTTCACATTGACGTCGTGCATGGCTCGGATAGTCGAGCACCTACAACTAAACCAAATTGAAAACTACGGATTACGATGATTACAATAAGACCACCTATGCACTGTGGAGAACAACTGCCTTGCAAAGGAAACATTTCAAACAATGTTACTTACATTGGATGTAGTTGGCAAGTTCTCGGGGGCACACACGCTTGCAGCACACTACTATACTGCACTACTGCAGCTCTGCGACTGCAGCAGTCATTTATGTGTATTGGGTTGCATAAGTTATCTATAAACGCCTTTATTGACGACTGAAATAGTTTTACCCTATGAAAGTAAATCATTTATATATAATTATCTTTCATTGTTACTAATTAAACTTTAACACAACGTGTAAAATATAACAATTCCTCATGAAACAAGACTTCATTGTTATTTGCTTTCGTCAAGAGCAAAAAACAGTAGAAACGGATAAAGATCTGTAACTATTCGCAAGTGCTGTGTTCATGGTTCATTTTATTGCAGGCTGGTGAACACATTTCAATCACAATGGGCCGTTGTGTTCATGTTAAGTGAATACAAAAGTGCAGGATTAAACAGAACGTAACTAAAATAAGAGCAAAATAATCAACGCTCAACTGGTGTGTATGTGGATAGTGCATAGTATTCTGTCAAATGCAGCGGTGGAAAGTTTAAATTTTTATTTGTGTAATTCACAGGCTGCAAAACGTTTATTAACATCCGAAAGTATCTCAAACTCAAAGGAAACATCGCGTTGCACAGAGAGAAGATAGAGAAGTGAGGCTGGCGGTTTCAGATCGTTGCTCTCGCATTGTTTAGTTCGTACTCTTCTTTCCTCGCGCCCGCCTCTTGGGCGTTTGTGCCGGTGTTCATCGAAGAAAGCTTCACTTTTTTCTTCGACTCGCTGCTTCCTTTGATGTGAGAGAACTCCGCAGAGTGTTGAAACAAAAGGAATTACGCAAATTAAGTGCGACCGAAGCTAAGAAAAACAAATTAAAAGACGAATGTTAGAAGCGCGTGCATTTAAAAGCGCGGTGGTACACAAACGAAACGATAATAGTTTTGCAGCAATGCAACAACGTTAAGAAGAAGTTCTAAAATGTAATTTTGATTTGTCATAAGCAATGCGCATGATATTAATTTTGACATTTTACTGCCATCATTAAAAGGCAGTTGATTTATTTGTCCATTTGCTCATGCAATGATGACGCAGCCATCTAGGAAAAGGATATACAACCAGGAGAAGAAGTGTATAAACAAACGAAACAACTAAGTCTGCAGGAAACACAAGAACATTAACGAAGTTCGTAAAATTTAGCAAAGTTTAGCAGAATTCCGAACACCATAAAAATAAATGGTACTAAAATGTGGTTTTTTTCGCGTTTACAGAACATAGATTTAGATTTAAAGTTAAAATTGACTTGAAGAAGATCAAGAGGTACAAGGAAATTAAACAAGTGGAATTTTAGCTAACTGCAGGAAGCGGTAAAGTGTACAAGCAATGTGAAGTGTAAAACTTGTAAGATAATTGTCAGCTTCCGTTTGTTAGAAGAATAAAACAGAGAATTAACAAAGTCCTTAGCAAATATCATTAGTATTAAAACCAGACATTTTTATTTCTGAGTTTTTGCGCAGTTTTACCCAAATATGATGTTAATTAACGCAATAAACTGTATGTTGTATGATCTTATTGTACCAACAACAATTCGCATAAATTGAATGGACTGTAAGACACAATGTAAACAAATGCACATCTAAAATCCATTAAACTTGTCCCTAATTGCAGTTGGAAAGCACTTTATAAATTGCTGTCTATTTATTTGCGTAAAATGACTCCGCGGGTTGAATCAAGACAGAAATACTTTCAAACTCTTGAACAAACACAATTCGCAAATGTAAGTAATCCGAGAGTACGCTGAAATCGTTCGTTGGAATGTTTCTGGGTCATGAAACTTGCTCATTTTTCAGTCGCATCAATTTTTCCACTTCTTCAGCATCAATTATTGTACATTTAAACTGTTGCAATGTTGCTTTGTTATTGTTGCTTTAGTTTTGCTATTGTTATTGTTATTGTTGTCCTGCGAAATTTTATTGTTACAATTATTATGCGTTCATTATTTTTCGTGCGAAGAATTGCGTTATTAAGCAGATTCTTTGAATTTGCTCCTGAATAGGTGTTATCTTTTCTCATTCACTTAAATCTATTTGTTCTGCTGTATATTTAAACGTCAAAAACATTCATAAGGACAAAAGTTTTAATGAAAATATTTTAAAATTAAAAAATATACTCTATAAAGTTTAAAATATAAAAATTGAATAGCAATCATAAATCGATAGGAATTCCAATGAATTTCCAAGCTGTCCAATATTTTATCATGCATGATTGCTTGATTGCCCGATACGAAGCGCAATGCGCGACGCGCGAAGCCAATGTTTGTCTAATTTTATTTATTTTGCGAAATGCCTTCGCCTGTTTATTACTCGCTTATTATTATGTTGTTCGACGCACGGCGCGCAGCTCGTGTGGCGATCGCGCTTGGATTCTTCGCATGAATGATCAAGACTCGCAACTCAACTGCATCAAAGAGCGCATCAGGCATCAAGTATCAGGACCTGCCTCAACCAAGAACCGCGCGACCCTGCAAAGGAGCAAAGCAATTTCTTTCACTCGCGCTCTGAGCTTATTTATTTTCAAAGGGCAAAAATATTTCTAAACTTAAGCAATAATTTTAATAAACACCGCATGTTTCCCAAACAGAATTAATTTACCTTGTTAAATTATTTGTGTATAACAACCTGTGTATAACATACTTTGAAGTTTACAAGCTGGTCTTACAAACGTGTAAAACCCGAGCGCCAGGAACGCGCTGGTTTTAATAAGGCAATAAGGAAATGGATGAATATAATAAACGCGCATTGCAATGCACGCAGCACGACGCGAAAGCCCGGAAAGTAACGTAAGACGACAAAGGAAGGGACTTCCAAGCGAAGTATCTATTATTGCATTAGTTACACAAAACAAAACTCACGCGGGAATGGTAGTCAAGAAGCAAGTCGTTAATGCTGGATCTTAAGCCTAATGGAGCTTTACGCTACGTGCATTAAACAAACGACAAGGAAACATTTTATTTTGTTCCATCCAAGGTGTGTCAATGTCAATGCTGGTCAGATATTCTATTACACCGTTGAAATGTACACAGAAATGTGATAATATTAACACTAAAGAGGTGTAATGTCATCGTGCGTAATGTTTCCGGGATTCTTTGAATTATTCAAAGAATAATTGTCGAAATTATTTTCTTCGTAGTTATCTCCGTAAGTATCAACTAATTATCCATGTTTATCGCTTTTATCTCGTCGACATGCAAAGTCGTGTAATAAACTGAAATAATTAAACTATTTCATGTACCTATGCATCGTTCTCAGCGGGCGCATGCAAAGCTTTCATCAATAATAATTATAATTATAAATTACGGGCGTAATAAAGATGATTAGATCTTATTAGCCAACTAAACAGGCGAAATTAAATCAGCGATTTCCTATTTGTATCCACTTTACAACCGTTTACTGCTCATGCTTTCAATCACATGATTTTTTGTTTGGTTGTTTTGCCTCGCAGCAATTGATTTACATGTTTTAATCGTAATTTCTTACGTTCTAGTTGCTTCCTACGTTAGATGACTGAGTGGTTTTTAATCGGTGCACAGCGCAGAAAAGTGGGCAACATTTTAATCTGCGCAAAAACGTTCCGAGTAATTTATTCAAATAAAAAGAAATGTAACGCTTTGAGTGCGCTGCTTGTGAATCGAGTGGCACGCAGCGCATTTGAATAATTGAAATAATTCCGAAATTATGTAACAGCGCTCGTGGTCGTAAATGCTCGCCGGTTATTTAATAGTGTTTGTAACAAAAACAGTGTGCGGAATTGTGGGTCTGCGTCAACTTTGCATTCTCCCGAGACGAATGGGAGTACTCGTATGTATGCTACGTATTTACTACTTGTTGGGAAAGGAAGACATTCGGAAGAGAATGCTCATGTAACCAGTCGTAGTTGTAGCGGAACGATGCGACGGAACATGCAGAGACGCCCGGGCGAAAAATGCAAACGGTACTCCAACATACTTTTTCTTATTGTCAGTGGTTGGAACTCCCGAGCACACTTCGTTAACAGTTCCTCGGCGTTGCATAAGTGCATAATATTAATTATAACGTTAATTATCTTCTAACATATGTAGCACAAAAACGACGAACGGCTGCAACCCAACACACATTAAACAAGTATAATTAGTTGCATATAACACCCAAATACTCACGTAATAGTAAAAAATAACAGAATACAGTTAGGTTTTTTCTTCTTCTTCTTCTGCTTTTTAACCATCAAGATCTGAAATATACGAATTACAAGACATTACCATACAACACACACCAAACTGTATCATTATTTTCGTTGTGTGTACAGTTAGATGTAGTCAAGTACAATTGTTTTCTGATATTATTGATGCTCACCTGTACAATCTCGTCGGATTCCAACCACGAACGAACGGATCAATTGCGCTGTCGACGTTCGTAATTCGTAATTGCCGCTTTTCGTGTTTCGCTCCGCGTCCGCGTTAAAATATTGTATTTTGTTATAGGTACATCAATCGAGCTTCTTTCTTCGAGTGGTGAGCGGAACATGCCCGCTGGAATGTGTTTCCTCTCGCACCAGATCGATTCGATTGATTGCTTCGTGTTACACTCAGCTTTCTTTGTTGCTGTAGGCTTTGTTACCGAATAGATTATGAACTCGGTGATGTCAGGAGTCATTCAGTCACTCAGTCATTCTTCAACAATTAACGGTTTGTGGTTGTTGGTTACTGCTGAGTATCGCAGTGAATGTTTTTCTCAAAAATACTTTAAAATCAACCATTAACGGAAAATGTTTTAGTTATATACTCATAACACAACTTACCTTCAAGTATAATGGAGATATGTTTTAGGTTAGTTTTTGAAGTAGTTTCATAATAATGGTTGATAGATGGCGTTAATATTTGCGAGTGCATTGTTTGTTTATGCATAAATAGCATTAACATCATTTTGCATTTATGCACATAATGCATTGTTAGTGTACCTACGAGTACAAGAACTCTGTTTATCATAAATATTTTATGTTACGTTACGGCCTGATGGAGTTTATAGCATGAATTCTGTTTAATGGTAATGCAGTGCGTATCAATGTCGTATCATGACATAGGAACATGGTAACACAATTAAAAATGCATCAAACGATCGTTAGCATTTATTACTACAGTTTTAAACTTGATATTTGTGCAATTTTTAATTCTAACCAAACTTTTTTGTAGTATAACCTAAAAAATCATAACATACATCACAAAGCGAGTGAAAAATAACGAATAATAAATAATACACGATGCGATTGCGTTCATTATAAATAAAATCACGGCATGGCACACACACACGACATCGTCCATCGAAAGCTCGCAAAGCAAAAGCTTCAGGAATAACTAAGAACAAGTCGAGCGAACGCGTTCGGTGTTCACGTCGCGCTTCCTTATTGCCTCAGCCTTTCGTTTGCAGTGGCTTCGCTTTTGTGTCACACGGGCACAACTAAGCCGTAGTCACGTTGATATCGCTCGGTAGGTTCAAATATATTGCACTGGTCGAAAGGTAAAAGTCACCTAAGTGCCTACGTAAACCATTGCAATGGTATCGCAATACTTAAATCACTTCAAAACTTCATACAATAGGCAACTTTATTTTCATCACTTCTAAGTAAATGCATAGCTGGTTGCCTACATAACTAAAAACTTATGAGTAATTTTCAGTTTTATTTATGAAACTATACGCGCTGCAATTTTCCGATTTGTTACTCACCGCTTGTTATAATATTCTATGACATAACTCATTGCACATGGCGGCATCGTGGCGGCATGGCAGTCGTATGAATAAAATCAATGCCCGCCGGTGGTTTTTAAGCGAACGGTTCATTCGTTCTTTCGCTCCTATTCTAATCATCTTTCTATGCCTTCAGTTTACTGCACAATGCGAGTAACGGACGAGTTGGGCTGGACACTAGTGCGCCAGCGCAACAAGTCGAGCAACACGTGTGCGCACAACTATTCGCCATATTTATTGCTCGTATTATATTTATTAATGCGGCTTCACGTGCATATACGGCAATAAACATGCGCGCTTGGCACGATTTGTTCCTCGTTTGTAAAATGCCCTCGATCAGTTTATTATCCCGCGAATAAATTTGCTTTCTACTTGAAGATTCCGAAATGGAGTCACATTTGAGGTTATGTCGGGGAGCACACTACACTTTTAATCAGTTTGCGTGGGTAAACATTTATTTTCGCCATGGAGCATGAAATTCAGCTCGTAAAGCATATGTCAATGTTTATTATCAGTGTAGTATCCAACATAAAATATGATTCTGTGGTGGATACACGTTCAGCTTCATAAATATTTCAGCCATGATTGAAATATGTGCTCATCTCGTGAAATTGCGTATAAAACTAAGAATGTTTGATAAGAAATAATAATGTTAACAAAAAATACATCTACTTGCGCATAAGCGGTGATAAAAGCGATAAAAACGATGATGCTATTTAAAATATCTTCATTCAGACAGTGAGCAAACTAACTTTGACGTGTTGAAAAAGAAAAATCAAATTGAAACGATGTGAGTTTAATATGAAGTTTGTTCAGATGATGGTTTGAGTAAACACAAAACATAATAGAGATACAAATCATAAGCATACGAATGCGAATACAAATTGGAAAAGTTATAAATGAATTTAGGGATATTGTGATTTTGAGAGGTGTACGAAAGGTGCTTATTCAAGGACCAAAATTATAAATGTATATTTTCGGAGAATTCAGGCCCTACACCTTCATTACACTATATTTTACATGTAAAACATTAAATTTTACACATTTAATACGCAATAACCACATTTATAGTTCTACTAGCTTTTGCCCGTTGACATAGTATGTGTCAATTCAATCAATAAGATTCGCAATTTTATTTTAAAGAAATTAATTATATAAAGAATTGCTAATAATGCACTTTAGCGCGCCATCTCGGTTTCAACTATTAAACTATAACTATGATTGAATCTCAATGCCAACTTTTATCCCATAGAAAAAGGCTGTCTTTAGGGTTTTCCCGGCAATTATTTGAATTTTTCTCGCAATAAAACCTTTCCTTGGACTTTAACGAACATTTAAAAAAAATAATTGTCCGAATTGGTTTAGGCGTTGTTGAGTTATGCGCTTACCAACACATTTTGCGATTCATTTTTATATTATCTTGTCATTTAACAATATATCATAAACATGTTTAATTTCACTAACATAAATCACTTATAAATTGCTCAGCGAGCGAAACACACGGAATTTTTGCACATCATCAATAAAAATATTCCCATCCACAATCGTTTGTCTGATGTAAACGAGGTAATTGAGTTCCACGTTGTAAGTAAACGCTAAATAATTGATTTCTTCTTTAAGGCGATGGTTTCTAGCCAAACCACTTGAACACCTTTGCCTACAGCTATTTTTCTATGCTTCGAATAACTGCGCTGTAAGATACCCATATAATTTTAGAATTTGCAAAGTGTTAAAGAATTGTTTCTAATTTTTCAAATTGTCCGAAATTATTATTCCTGTCAATCACTTTCGGCCAGAACCGGTGTAATGAATGCACCTACGCGTGCGAATTTTTATATTCGCAAACATAACCTATTATACTCGCTCTTGTTAGCCATACGCAGCGAATATTAGTCACGCACGAACAATACGTGCATTAAACGGCCGTAAATAAAAGCGCACATACTCACAAGACATTACATTAAGGCACTACACGTTCGCTTGCCAATTAAACGACAATTAAACAATCAGACACCATAAAAATCATTGTACACTGATTGTTTTCGACAATTTATATCCTGTTCTACTTACCTACAATCAAACAATCAAAAAAGGGAAATTTTATGAATTTAAGTGATTTCAATGTTTATTTGTAGGTTATGTATCGTGCAAATTATAAAACAACCTTTTTTTGCCCATTTTTCATTTCTTTTATCTGTTATAATAAATAAAAGTGATAAATTATATTCGGCCTGTGTAAACATGCAGATAAAAACGAGCACGAAAAGAAATTTAATTGGAATGCATGCGGTGCGATTAATTTATTAATAAATTAACAATAAGTCACCTTTTGCATGCGCAGTCGAATCACACAAGTTCAACATCATAATGAGCATCGTAAACAGGGCGTTACTACAAATATGCAATTATATTGTACACTGCTGTAGGTTCGCGTATATGTAAAGTTGCAAACGCCAGATAAAGCAGAGGAAAAGTAAAGCTATAACACGAGTGCGCAGCACGCGCTCGTAAAATGTGTGAATACAAAGTTTCAGTGCATTTATTTAGTGTAATAAAAGGGTTGCACTGCAAGTACGCGCTACAAATCTACGTGTTTATGTTGTACCATTGAAAATTAACAATAAAAGCTAATTATACCTTAAAACATACAAATTGTACAACTTTTCTAATGTTAATTGGTGTTTCTAGGTTAGTTTAATGCATAGTTACGCCATCTTTTAACAAAAATTATAGCTGATATAATTTTACTGCTTAACGGGTTGCATAATTTATTTTAAGTAAAATATAGGTGAAAAATACGTTGAAACTTAAAAAAAGAAGTGGCAACATTGTCTTACTCTATACTCTACCATTACTTTAGATATAGTAGCAGAGACAAGCAACAAGTAAATAGCTGCAGCCAGCAATACAAACCACCATGCGGTGCTGTGTTTCGCGCTGCCGCAGATCGATATCGCGCTGGAATTTATAAGCGTCATAAAAACGAGTACAAAATCTATAATTTGATTGCTGACAAACTATAGCCACGCCACGCCGCGGCACAGCAAGCTCTCTTGCAATTGGAAATTATGCGAGATCTCTTGATCTGCGCCATCTGCAGGCATGCAGGCATACCAACACAAACAAATGAATGCTTCCCAATGATACGGAATGCGGCGATAGCGACAGCGAAGCGAAAATGAAACATAATTAAGAAAATCTTCCACCAGGCGCACATTCCTTGGGAAGAGCAAAAGATTCTGATCTTTTTCCCCAAGCCAACAATGAAAATTATTTAAATTAACCAATATTTACTGCGAGGTGAGGTTAAGTTAGGTTAGGTTGGTAATACTTGTGCATAAAATGTAATTGTCGAGTGTCTAGAAGCAGATATCGGCAGTAGTATAAATTTATACGTAATCGTTATAATCTTTATTGGTAGGGACATCGAATAGACTCCGTTGTAGTTACAAGGACTACTAATACCGAAATGACCGCGCACATATCCTCTACTTTATTCGACATTTAGCACCACCGCGCAAGCACAAAGTGTTTACACACGCGCGGCGCGGTAATAAGCGTAAACCATTCGAAAGAAATGCAGTAAAAGTGGAAAATAAATTTATGCTTCTTTCGCGTTCATATGTAAAGCTATACAACGCAAAATATAAAATAAAATGGCGGCGGAGCACTACAATGTTGCATTTAAGTGACATTTGTGACTTTATCTTGGATAATACTAATATTTATGACGTTTTTTAAACTAGAAATAACTTAGAATTATAATATCTATTGTTATATGATAAATTATTTAAAATCTATCAATTTTATACCTATTTTGGCCTCAGTTGTGAGTTATTCACTTGTTTTTGTAGTTTTGTGGTTTTTGGTGGTATTATTAACGAATGCTAATTGCAGACAACACGAAAGGTTAAATTGTAAAATTGTTGAATTGTCGAATTGCCAAAGATATTTATTCAACTTGAAAAAAACAACATGAATTCCTTGAATGCGTAATGACCCGTCGCCGATGCCGACACCGACACGTACGAGTATTTGCGTTGTACTCCTCCGCGCTTCGGTTGGTTTGTGTGTTTTAGCTCTGACTGCCATGTCTGACGTCCATTTATTTTCGCCGCTGAATGTATGGGCGAGCGCGGCGAGTTTGGGTTTCCGCGGTGTTATGGACTGTGGTAATTTGTTAATGTACCAGCTAAACTGTACACTACCAACAGCCTCAACAATTAGACAGAGAAATATAATAAATGGCATTGTGGCTGTACATTACCAATGGAACGAATTAAATTCTGCTTGAAAGATTTCCAGAATGTTGAATACTGTTAACATAACCTATATTTTAAAAAGCGTCATCTGATAGAGGTTAGGTTAACATTGAATCAATTAACATTTGTGTTTTTTTGGTTAGGTTTTACTTTCAAATGCACTTTAAAGTTGAGAAAAATGTGTGATTTCTTTCAATTGTTTTCTGTGCACCGCACATCGTTTATTATCCCAGCCGCGTTTGTTTCTGCCGATGTCTCGGCGCATTAGCGGGCGGCGGTCGTATTGTAGATGGTGCATGACATCATTTCCTGTCCTGCTCCGACGATTCCTCTCGCGCCCGCCATGTACACACCTATATCGCTGGCCGAAGCAATTACAACTTGGCTGCGAGCCACAAAAAAGAATACACGCTCGGGTGCTGAGGAAGAACCTCTGACAAAAGTACCACCAACGAACTAGACTTTACTAGACATTAACAACGCACCGATGAATCGCACAAAAAAAGTGCAAAAATTCAATTTTTTCTAAAAAATTTACAAAAACTTCGAAAAAATTGCCGAAAAATTAAAAAATTAAAGAAAAATGTATTTCTCTCAATAAAAGTGTTTGCATTTATTGTAAAATTGTGATTTCTATTAAAATATCTATTAAATCTTAAAATGTCAAAAATGTAAATTTTCTAATTTATATTCTCTATGTGTATAAGTTTACATATTTTTGTCACATCGCATACAAGTCGCAATCGAAATCATAAATTTAAATCGATGCTACCAGTTTAGAATAATAATGTCAGGACAACACTTCATACTCATACTTCATACTAATAAATAGCCATAAGATGAAAACAATTCAAGTATGTTCTCAATATTTGTGACTCAACGTTAAACTATGACACAAGGTGTGACTTAGTAAACAAACTGTCACCGAAGAAAAATATATACCCGCAAAAGGTGATTAAATTTAGAGTAGAATTTTTAAGTGGAAGTAATAAATATGTATGACGTCTGTTGATAATCTCTTACCTGGAATCGGAGTTATTTCGAGCGACAAATTAAATCGAGATTTTCATTTTGTGCGCTTGGGTTAGACCTTGATGTTTCAATTTATTCATTCATGCTCTTTCCACGTACTCATTTACTTGTATGTTGGTAGTGATTATTCGTTACATATTAATTTGTAAAACATGACGGTTATACATTATTAGCTTTCTAAAGGGAATGTGAATCATCTATAATGTAAAAATGAATCGCAAAATGTGTTGGTAAGCGCATAACTCCACAACGCCTTGACGAATTTGGCCAATTCTTTTTATCAAATGTTCGTTAAAGTCCAAGGATGGTTTTTACGACAAGAAAAGTCGAATAATTGCCGGGAAAACCCTAAAAACAGCAATTTTCTATAGGATAAAAGTTGGCATTGAGATTCAATCATAGTCATAGTTAAATAGTTGAATCCGAGATGGCGCGCTAAAGTGCGTTATTAGCAATTCTTTATATAATTAATTTCTTTAAAATATAATTGCGAATCTTATTGATAGATTTGACACATACTATGTCTAGAACAAGAGAATAAAAACGAATTACATTTTTATTAAACACTACCGGGACGAAGTCGCGGGCAAAATCTAGTACTAGTATGAAATTAATTTTCCAGGGACCCTAAATGTTACCAACGTAAATTTTCTAACCAAATCTTAACCTAACTTAAATTATTTTCTACTAATGAGTAAGAATAACTACATTAGAATTAAATTAGATTTTTTTTCTTAAAATAGACTTCATATCGATTTTCACTCAGTTACAACATCTCAATTTTCACGGAAACCTTACTCTTCTTGTAACCTGCCCGCCTGTCGGCGGTAGATGATTAACCGCAATGACGAATGTGCGCCCAAGGCAAATTAGCGTGTCCACCTCAATAAATAAGGTAATGTGATGAGTAAACCTATTGTGGGCTCGCGCATCCCGACGCACTCGGACGTGAGGTAACACAAGAGCAAACAATCGTCGGGTGTCTCGTCACAAGCTGGCTGAACTCAAGCAAACAGGAAGTTGGTAATTAATACACGAAACTTGTGCGCTAACTGCGCGACCTGCTACAACACTGATGACTGATGCAAAACCACCAAGCGCACAGTAAAAACATTACTCTTTTAATGGTGCTAACTAACTAACTATGAAGACCAAACATGAAAGGTAGACAGGAACAACTAACAAATCAAACATGTTACGCAGAGTTATGAATATTATAGTAATAGGTCCAGGTGGAACAATAACTCACAGAATTATTCAGTGATAGTTTGAAATGTGCCTTTATGTAGAAGTTTTGTTTATGAATTATTAAGTAACTACTAACCCTCAACAGTCTGGCACCTCATAAACAAATGTCAAAAGTTAACAAAAGTAGATATAACAATCCATAATATAAAAATAAATCGCAAAATGTGTTGGTAAGCCCATAACTCAACAACTCCTTGACCAATTTGGCCAATTATTCTTTTAATATGTTTGTTAAAGTCCAAGGATGGTTTTTACGGCGAGAAAAATTTGAATAATTGCCGGGGAAACCCTAAAAACAGCTCTTTTCTATAGGAAAAAAGTTGGCATTGAGATTCAATCATAGTTATAGTTAAATAGTTGAATCCTAGATGGCGCGTAGAAGTGCATTATTCTTTATATAATTTAATATCTTTAAAATAAAATTGCGAATCTTATTAATAGAATTCACACATAGGTACTATGCCTAGAACAAGAGAGTAAAAACAAATTACATTTTTATTAAACACTACCGGAACGAAGTCGCGGGTAAACGCTAGTACTAAATAGATTTATGTGTATCTGAAATAGATATTATTGTTCTTCCCACGGAAAGTTAATCCTTAAATAATCTTATTATTCCATGCAATAGAAACATAAATTATAATAAGATATATATTGAAAAAGTGCGAAATATAAATTGCGCGAGAAAACAATTGAAATTAAAGATTTAATATCTTTTCTATGCTTAATTAACTTTATAATCAAAATAAATTATTTCTTAGAATGAAATAATGTTTATATTACACACATGAATCATTTTTATATTGCGTTTATATTGTTATGAAATCACAATATACGATAAACTTATATTTTGGTGTGAAAATAACTTACAACTCAGATTTCATCCTCTTATAGACGGATTTTCATGAAATCCTTTCTGAATAGATTTTCTACGCCTACATAAGAATCTACCTGTTAAAAATAAAGTTTCTACCTTTTATATATTCTGAGAAATCGCTATTTTATATATTTTTAAAATTTAAATTTATGACTTTTCGTAGAAATCGTAATAATAATAACCCAGCAATTTAAAAATAGTTTAACCCCCATTGTATCTTAATTATTGTTAGATAATATAGATAATTATCGGGTCGGTGCAAAAGGGAAAAGGCAAAAAGAAAAAAAAGACGGCATTCGGATAATGAATTTAATGGCGGCACTATGCAGCCACTTTGTGCTCTTTTTTCTATATTCTTTCGGCCATTATATTAATTAAGTCGGATAATTAGTGATAATTATCGAGTGCGAGTGTGCGCCTATTATTATCGTCATAATTAGTTATAAAAGTTTCAGCCATTGCACGTCGACTTTTATTTTTATTCTGGCTTTGTTTTGTTGCGTTTTTTTTGTTTATTTCAATTCAATTGTTTTGCTTTTGAATCCAATTTCACTTTCATGTGTAATGAATGTATATTGTTTACATTTTTACCTTGCAACGCAGACAATAATAATATTCAGATAAAACTTGCATAAAAATAATAATAACTGAGTTTATAATGAATAGTTTTGGTACTTACATGATGGAACTTCATTTCACTTGTAGGAAATTAAAGAAACTTCATCAATAAGTTCACGTATTTATTATTACTGCGACATGTTTCACTACACTGCAACAACTGATATTCCAGCTGATAATTATCATTGTGGTGCTATCTATCGGTTATTTTTGTACTATTGATGATATTGCACGATATTCACAACCTCACACACAAAAACCTAACTTCCAATGCATTTGGGTCTTGATGAAGTTTTGTATGTGTAATATTTGTGGCAATACCGTTTTCCGCGCCGTCGCATTCGCGTTTTCAAGGCGAGCGCATTTCATTTCCTCGCAGAAATACTTTCACGTTTCAGGATGTGCGCTGCGCATCAGCATCAATTCGCCCGGAGTGCGCGCAGTGGGAAAATTAAAATAATGCAAGCGGAATGGATGTGGATGTGATGGAATCTTCCTGCTTTGCTTTACTAAATAATTTATCCACACGTTTTACGAATGCAATTTGCTCACGTTTCTTTAATGGATAATAAACTCCCGACAGATGTTAGTGTTAGTTACGTGATAGTAAAGAAATTCCATGCGCTGGCAATGATTTATTGGGATTATAAAAATTCCTCATGAATTATCAGTTACAACATTTCGTATCTGCTGGGAAATCAAGCTTAGCATTTAAATATTTTAATATGACATAACTAAGATGCACTTAATATCAGTTTTTATAAATTGTTTATTTTTTGTTGCAGGTAAGAGTTTCATTGAATAAAAAAGGATAATGGAATTATAAAAGGTATTTATTAAGTTTTTTTGTAGTTAAACACTCTGTAGAGGAGGTAGGTTTTTTACAACGTAAGTAAATATTAATCAACGAAAAGTTGTAGATATAATAAATATGGATTTTATACCGTTACTTCATTTAATTTAAGAAGTTTGCTAACACATTTGACTATAAACTATGATTTCAAGAATTTTTCGTAATGGAAATGAGTCATAAATTAAATTTCTCGCTGGATCTACACCTACACATCATACTTATTAGATATTATTTATAGCTCACGAAATACATCAACATTAACTTTAATTGTAATTCTAATATGGTTTCTCGTGTACCCACACTTTGTTGCTATAGCAATAGTAAATATCAATTTATTTACTTTACTAGACCGTTTTTATATCTTCACAAGAAATAAAAAAAACTCAGTGAAAATGAATTTAAATAATAATCAAATTAAAAAACGAGTTTGGTTATGCAGTGAGAACTTATGCAACTTTATGCGCATCAAATCAATAAAAACACAATAAAGCGAAGCGATGAGAAGACGCCGCCGATGGCGCAAGGCTGAATTGAATGGTTAAAGATCACACAAAGAAAAAAACACAACATAAGAGTGTCGTCGACATCACATCTGCCGCGAGTATCACACCAACACCGTGCGGTTAATCGTGTCATCATCGTTGCAATTCTCTACTTGATGCGAAACGTTGAAACTTTCTTTTCCTTATAAAGCACTCAACGACTGTATAAGCATTGATATTACGACATCCAAATCGGGAATAAATTTCCAACCGAAACCAATCAGAAAGTAAAAGTATTTTATTTCACGCATTTTGTTTAATTATTTTGAAAAATCAACATATTAAGATCTTGATGCGATGGTGATGATGGTGGGTAAATAGCACATGCACGAAATGGCAAAGCATGACCGTTTGGATGTTGGAAAGGACGCGGTGAACGGACGAGCGGACGGCTAATGTGGTTTTAAAACGCGCTTAACAGTACACCTCCGTCGTCCGCGCGGCATGATCTCATAGAATTTCGCGCGGCTGCAATAGACGCGAAATGGCGCACGGCGTCCATTTCACGAGTAGGAGAGCGGAGAACCGCTAGTCAGAGACTCAGGCGCGGAAAGATCGTCCGCTTCATCCTCTCGCTGTCGTCGCCGGGATTGCTCTTTACGTTCACTAACACAACGGTGATGTATCCGCTCGACGAGATCTTTTAGCACGTTTTCGTCGCTGGGTGCACACACATAATGTTTAAACTTTGAATATATCATATCTATTTATCTCTAACGTATGTTATATGCAACCATACAATAGTGAAGTTTGTTAATTGGGTTGCCTATATGATATAAAAACGAATAAAATGTCTGTGGGTAAATTACAGATAATCAGCGTCTATAAAAATACCGCGTTATTTAAGTTTGTGTGTTTAAGTGTGTGAATGTCGATAGGTTGCCCTCCATCGACCATCGTGGTACATTCCTGCATGTGCATTCTTTTCATGTTCAAATGATGCGTTCCCACTGTGCTTTTACTTTATGCTCCTAGCATAAACTTTATAGTGTAATAGTACTGCGTTCTGTGTACACAGATTAAAAAATATTTTCAACTGAATTCGATTGCCTGATATTTATTCTATGGAAACTCTTAACGCACAACAAATATTTATCAAATTAAAGTTAATTACTAAACAACTTTAAAATATTTTCAATGGAAACTTGGTTGCAGACAATTACAATCTAACCTAAAATGTATGCTATTTTTATTTTTAGAATGAACATAGTGTATGTAAATATGTAACGTATGTGGTTTCATTGTAATAATTCCAGTCCGATAATAATCGCGATAATGACCACAAAATGAATAAAAAAGAACGCATGCGCAGTGTACAACAGAAATTGTACTTGCTTGTGTGTGTGTTATCCAAAAGACAGAATGGTTTCATTCGGGCGATCTTGGCGCTTGTAGCATCTATACCATCAATGCGTCCGCGCATTCATGCATCAAGAGTTTTTCGCAACTGACTCACCTTGAACATTATTCGCACTTTTGCGCAATGGTACGCACATTGCACGAGTTTACTCTTCATGCATCATCTGTTCGACACGATCATTTAATGTCGAATGTATTTTTCAATCATTTACAAGCAAAAATCCGACGGAAACAATGTTAACCTTAAAATTCATTTCTAACCGCACATTTTGCATGCACTGTATAAAAGTATTGGACGCTTCATTGAGTAGCTAAGCATATTTATGCGAATTCTATGAATAAACGCGAAGACAGGATCATAATTGAATGGTCGGATAGTTGGGCTGGTAAGATGTAAAATGCAAGCAAAAAGTGCGCTGCAACCCGCATGTGCGCAACAAGTAATGTCACAATATGCATACAGTGCGTATTCACAACTAATGCCTGATTAAAATATGAATTATATTATAAATGGTTTAAGTACCAATTGCTAAACATGCAGTATAGGTAAATGCTTCGACGACTAAATTGAAAAAATCACGATTTATGAGTAAAAACCCCTGCGCAAAAATTTACGACTGGCGATTATTAAAACTTCCAATTAAACGTTAACACGTACAACGCGTCGAGGGAATGTGCCGCTTGCAAGTACGCACGAGAGCGATGAGTTATTAATAAATGCTAGTTAGAGGGCAACAACAAGTGCCTATAACTTGATAGCTTCGACGATTTCAGCGATGCGAAATTTGATTTGTAGTTTTTGTGATAATTTTAATTAATTTTCATCGCAGCGCGCATTTTTTTAATGGCCACGAGCAAATTGGTTAGATAATTGAAAAATTCACGAACCAAATTCGATTTTATGCATGAAATATTAAAATAACTATTCATTAAAATTAAATAAGTGAATAATTCTTTAAAAATCTATTTATACGTTTGTGTGGGCATAAAAAAACTGAATGAAACGTTAACGCATGAAATGCAGTTGTGAAAAGTGTTGCTCGTGGACGGTATTGGAAATAATTAATAGTGAATGGGATGCACTGTGCACTGTGCACTTTTAATAATGACCAAGCACAATTTCCGAGCGCAGAGCTAAATGCGAAATGCACCGAAACAAAAACGCACCGCAAAAAGCGCGATACGAGATGATATTCATTCCGCCGCACGTTCGCTGGCACTTTGTGCGCCAACGACGCCATATTTCTAATCTTTGCGAATACAAACGGCAGCGAGTTTATAAAAACAACAAAGTAACAAACAAGAGTAAAATTGATGCGATACGACAAACACTATGAGTAAGTGCACGAGAAATTCTTTGTAAAAGTGGTTCAAAAATATTTCAAAAATATCTAAAAATGGTTTATTCAACTTTTACTTTTGTTCTCAGTCGGTAGGTAATTCATGCGAAGTAATAAATAAATTCTCCACGTCACGGAGCCGTATTGAGCGCTACGAAAATGTTAAATCGGTCGTTTTACGACGACCTCGACTTCAATTTCTTTGTATCTGAGTGCATAAATCTTCAGCTCTTTCAACTCTTACTTTTTTATTCATTGAAATTATTAAAACGCATAAACATCGTCCTTGTTTTGAGAAATATTAAATTTGTTTATTATAGGCAACCAACGTTGCATAACCTCCACTTTCATTTGATATAATACAGCAATTTGCTCTATCTAGACAGATATTTAACATTCCATCTTGTGTGTGGTTGGTACTCGTATGAACTTCCTGTTCCTTGTTGTCCGGAGTGGCCGCGCCCGATAGTTTCGACGCCTGCGAACATCTGCAGGAATGCGAATGCGCACCACTTATTGCACCGCATCGCGTGCTCACTTTTACGTTCGGGGCAATTACGCCTGAGCAATTAAACGCGGTCGCGCCGCCTTTCGCTTTCATGCATCGCATGAACACCGCATATTATATTCTGCGATGTCTCACTACAGCCGAGCACCAGTAACCAGAAAACAAGCGTAACTCGTAAATTAATAATTCACAACTTTAGTATAGTAATAATAATATATTTCATGAGAATTTGCGAAATTTTTAATATAAAAATGAATGGCAAAATGTGTTGGAAAGCGCATAACTCAACAACGCATAGATCAATTTGGCCAATTCGTTTTTTAAAATGTTCAATAAAGTCCAAGGATGGTTCTTACGGCAAGAAAAATTCGAATAATTGCCAGGAAAACCCTAAAAACAGCCCTTTTCTATAGGATAAAAGTTGACATTGAGATTCATTCATAGTTATAGTTAAATAGTTGAATCCGAGATTGCGCGTTAAAATGCATTATTAGCAATTCTTTATATAATTCATTTCTTTAAAATAAAATTGCGAATCTTATTGATGGAATACTATGTCTAGAACAAGAAAGTAAAAACAAATTACATTTTTATTAAACACTACAGATACGAAGTCGCGGGCAAAAGCTAGTTTTAAATGAAAATATTAAATAATAATTTGCGGTTAAATGTGGCCAAATTTTCAGATTTTAGTTGTAAAGCCGGAAAACCGGCAAAGTTTAAATTAAATTAAACATCCCAGGCGTCAGTGCATGCTGTGCATCCGCAAACAGATATAACGTGATGAAAGTTTTATTTTTTATATTAAACAAACATTGAGCATTGCGGCAGCAGTGCATTTATCTACACATATTTACATCCGAAATGGTGGTGCGCAATTTTGTTTGTTTACAATAGTTCGAAAAATGCCGCTGTGGGAAATGACGGCTCAATGTGTCTATCCATAGAAAATTGAAAATTCAGAAAATGGATTGCAGTTAACTCCACCACAACAAAACTTTAAAAAACTGAAAATTTCACTAGAATACACAAAATATACATTTTTTTATACAAGTGTATAAAGTATTACTTTACACACTGTTCAATTTAATCAATGCATTTGTTGACTGTGTTTTTCTTTGTAACATTGTTGAGGATTGCGCCGGTTGGAACGCAACGAGTCCGACGTGCGGAGGCTGCAAAAAGCGTCGCGCAATGGGTGCAATAAAAAGACGTGGAACGTGTCCCAAGGATAACGACTTTCAATCAAACGCTTTTGAACACCCGTACGCGCATTTTGCGCGTTCGCACACATGTTCGCCGGCATACCGTGTGGCCGCGGCTGGAAAAATGTTAATCTAGATCAGCATAAATTTTACGCTATTCACGCATTCGAACAGAGATTAAATTACTTTAGCTTTAAGACAGAACAAAGGGTTTATAAAACCCCCACACTAATAACTTCAGATAAATTATATACCTGTGTGTTTTATAAACTTTACTTGCAGTTGTGACATTTTTATTGTTTACTAGCTTTTCTTCGCGACTTCGTCCCGGTAGTGTTTAATAAAAATGTAATTTGTTTTTTACTTTCTTGTTCTAGATATAGCGTGTGTAAATTCTATCAATAAGACTCATAATTTTATTTTAAAGAAATTAATTATATAAAGAATAGCTAATAATGCACTTCAGCACGCCATCTTGGATTCAACTATTTAACTATAACTATGATTGAATCTTAATGCCAACTTTTATCCTATAGAAAAGGGCTGTCTTTAGGGTTTTTCAAGCAAATATTCGAATTTTTATCGCCGTAAAAACCATTCTTGGACTTAAACAAACATTTAAAAAAAAGAATTTGCCAAATTGGTTAAGGCATTGTTGAGTTATGCGCTTTCCAACTGATTTTACGATTCTTTTTTAAATTATAGATTGTATATTACGTTTTTCTTAGGAAAATCTGTGTTTGAAGCACCAAAATATGAAATTTATGATTCGTCATTGCATCCAGACGTTGAGAAAATTAATCTAATTCCAAAAGGGAGGCTTTCCAATATATAGAAGGAAAAAATCTCAAATCGAATGTCCAGGACTATAAAAGTTTAACTGCTGGCTATAAACTTAATGTTTGTGTGCAAACGACTGGATAAATTGATCAATATGAACCAGAAAAGTAAACAAACCGTTAAAACAGTATGATTGCTTGACAATTACTTAATTATACATTTAGTTACATTTTAATTTAATTTCTATGAAAATTTTAATTTAAATCTGCATGAAAATGTATTTAGTGACAAGCGTATCATGAAACTGGAAGTGTCTTTAATTTATAGCGCCTTTTAATACTTAACGTGGTGTGTCGATGCCGACATAGACTAGTTCTCGCTTCTTGCGCGGCCTCCTTGAGTCAGAGACCTGTTAGCCATGGCGGTCGCAGGCGCAGACACCTACGCCAAGTCTCCTCCGCATCAGCGCTGCCAAGCGAGGCGATTATACGACGATTATGCGCCCGAACCGCAAACGGTGAATCGCAAAACGCCCAAGCACCACGGCGACGACGACGTCGACCCAGCTAACTTACAAACTTTTTTTTCCGCTCCTTCTCGGGCGATAGACGCATAAATACGAAATAAGAAGTCGAAGTCGACGTCGCATCTGCATAATGCTGGCTGGAGCCGGGAACTTTATTGGATTCATGAATTACACCGCAGTACAGAGCAAAAAAAAAACTCAATCGATAGCAAAGTGCACAAACACCTAAAGATTGTAATGTATTAATATATTTCTCAGCGCAGGGATGGCAAGGATAAAGACCAAGGAGTGTCGCCGAAAACTGTCCTGTGCTCAAAGGAAGCCATAAAATATTGATGGCGCTATAAATTGTTTTATAGCAAATCGTTTTTGCATTCACAGTGGTAAAGTACCTACCCATAGACATTTAGACATTTGTGGTTTCAGCTAGTAAAGTTATTCACGTTTTATTATTGCGATTGTAAATATTTTCATGATTTTTAATGCAACATCCTGTGGACATCGTTTACCTTGATTTGTCACGCATTTTCATGCTCATAAATAAATCACCTCCGAAGCCCAATAAAGTTTACAAAGTTCAACAAGAGAACTCAACTTGTATTGCCAGACAAATTTGGCAATACACGAATCTACGAATTAAATCTTTAATCTCAATGTCTGTGGGTTGAGTTTACGTATTTGTAAGCCATGAAACTCTTAATATAAGCAAACAAAGAAAGCAACATTTGTTGGAATTTATAATGAGGCTGTTGGTCTTGCTTTTTGGTAGTGCAAGTGGGCCACTATTTTGGCAATGTTCACTTTCGAATTTACTGATCAAGAATTGCCTTCGGCCAATAATATGTTTAAAATGTATTCATGGCATTCAAATGTTAATGCTTTATATTTATCATAATGTGGTAACTTTTTTTCTTGTGAGATTTGAGTGGTCAGATGCAAATGTCACATTCACGGCCACAATTTACGTAATCCTAACCATATTTTATTTCACTGCATGGTAGGCAACCCAATATACATTCCTATAGCTTGCACAATGTTGCACTTAACTTGTTGAATCTTCTAAAACCTCTAAACATGAACACTTATGGGACTATCATGCTTCAAATCCATTAGTCGTGTCCTAGGAGGCCATTTTAAGTAATCGCCGCAATTCGTTATCGGTGTCAACGAGACGCATAACGACACATCCCAAATGTACCTTACATTTACCAATGCGGAATCTACAATTTTATCACACACACACACACACACGTTGATATTCTAAGACGCGGAGGTGGTACGATTGCTCCGAGCATTTCTACGCTCTGAGGTGTATCGTTAAGCACTCGAAGCAATTGCACTAGTTGCATCCAATCCGCCGGAGAACACTTATATTACTCTAATTTCCACTATCTGGTGCGCCGCGCCGCTGATGAGCATACTTTGCAAGTGCCCTTTCTTTACGCGGCCCGGCTGTTTGCATAATCACCCAGCCGGGGCATTAATAATACCTTTATGGTTGGCACTGAGCGAGCACTCTCATTTGAAAGCGAAAGCATTTATTATGTTTATGCCTTCGTTTAGCCACGACTAAGCTAAGACTTAACAAGATTAATTGAATTAAATCACCTGCTATCAGTCTATCAGAGCAAATGCCTACAAAAGAGCCGACGTTATTAATTGTTAAATGAGATACAATTAGGAAGCATAGCAGTATTTTTACTTTAGATTTATTGATGTGCATTAATTTTTATCTTTTTTGTTTGTATGCAACAGATGATGCGCATTCTAGTCACGATCATGGTCCTCGGACTGATGGCGGGCACGCTCGCCGCCCCACAATCAACCTACGCGAATCAGGCAAACAACGTCGAGTACATCGGCGAAGGGCTGCCTGATCAAGCAACGCTAGACGGCAAGGTTACCAAATTGGACGACCTTAGTCCGGTGATCTTCCTGAATCGAACGAAAGCTGCGCTCAACTGCGCTGCGGGTTCGATGCAAGTCGAGCTGAAATTCAACGACCGATTTTTTGGTATTGCATATGCTGATTACGACCAGAATTCAGCTTGTAAAGTGGCTGGAAAGGGTGACCACAGTTATAAATTAGAGTTACCCTTAAAAGGATGTGGTACTAAACAGGTACGTCTTAATGGTACCCGTAAAAGTATTATTTTAGAATAAATTTTTGTTTTTAAGGATCCTCAACGTGTATTCACTAATAATATTGTTGTACGATTCCACCCTTCTCTTCAAATGGATGTAGATGAGATTATTACCATCGTGTGCAGGTATCCCCCACCTGTAGCTCCAATCCCAGCTGGTTTACCAAGTTTTATGTACGTAGGATTTTATGTGTTTAAAAAACGTCTGTAATGTTTTTTGTTGTTGATGATTATAGTCAGGAGGATGTAGCACCAATTGCTGCCCTGGAACCACCATTAAAAGGCTTTCAGATTCTGTTGATTATCTGCGCGATTTTGTTCCTCTCTCTGCTGCTGCTGGGCCTGGGCTGTTCCTATTACTGCCTGCGCAAGAGGCCGCTCACCATCATCAGGCATCCACTACCGAGCGTTACAGGTTCGGAAATAACGAAACTATCCGGAAGTTCACTAGGTAGCCGCACGAACACGACTAACCATCGTATTCGCTCCAATAACTGTATACAGATCATCATATGTTTGCTAACATGCTAACCCTCTCTTGCACACAGGCAACCTCTCAATGTTTGAGGGTCTGAAAATCCCCCGAGTTCATGCACCGGTTGTAGTGGCACCGAGCAGTTCCGGCAGCGACGGTTTGCTAATAAGCGATACTTTGCCATCAGATTATCCCTCCGAATCACATTCTGAGATCGAGGACGTCGAAACACGTTCGTTGCCTGTCTCATCCGCAGGCAGCTATGAGAATGAAGCGTTTGTCCAGGAAGCTGTACAGCAGATACACGTACCACGTGTTCCCCTGGTTGCTGTAAAGGAGGCACCTACATTTGATGTACAGGTGAGGGTCAAGAGACAGGCACCAGCTGCTCCACCAAGTTTGCAGTTATCTTCCGACTCGGAGAGCTCAGTAGCACCCAGTGTTAGGAATTTATCTACGATTGTTGAACAAAAAGAAGAACGGGAAAGTATTAGGAGTTTAGAAAGTCCACAAATGATTGAACGTATGCAGTTTACTTACGTACCCGAGTTACATCCACCTCCTAAACATGTACAACCAGCTCCAACTTACAATAGGATTTTGAAGAGGCAACAACAGGAACTTATCGCGTAAGTAACCCATAGTAGGGTCTGTTAATTATTATATCATTAAAATTTGTTTGTGTAGTAAACCGCCACCACCAGTGACACCTCCCGAAATCTCGACCCACGAAGTGGATGATGTATTCTTACGTACAATCACCGAGAAACGAACAATCGAAGACATCGAACGACACAAACGCCTAGTTACAGAATTCCATACTCGCCAACCCGACCCACAGAAATGGGACGTCACTATTAAAAACTACCCGATTGAAAGACCAGAACCCCCAGAATGGGAGAACTTCTCTGATATCTCTTCTACTTCTGGTATGACTCTAACACCTAAACCAGAACGCGCTACTATGAGTCTACCACCTCAAACCATCAATGACAATAAGCTGCCACTCAACTCGCCCCATTTGATTGGTAATATACAATCCGCTCCGCGTACTTCCACCTACTCTGAAGAAATGTCCTCAACTCGTCTTGAACACTACCTTGAACAATACCAGGTCCCATTGGAGAACCCAGAAGTCCAGAACTGGAATGTTTTGATCAGAGTCTTCCAACCTATTGAGGAAGAAGGTCCTGTCATTGACAATGCAGAAACCTTTAACTCTCAGTTGACTCACGCTGATAAAATAAAATGGAGGCAGATCCTGACTACAGAAAGTACTCTCAGGTCTAAACTGACCGAGGCTACCGTTAGGGAAGATTATGAACGTATCCGCCAGGATCACAGATATGAAAATCTGTTTGAGCCCCAAAAGTGGGACGTGATTATCCGTGTCCTCACTCCGATTGAGAAACCCAAACAAAACCGTTATCGCAAGAAGGCAGATTGGGATACACGCAGTCGTCGTAGTAGCTTACCCACTTTGTATGAATATGACAGTGATGGTGGTAGCTCCGCACGTACACTTACAACCGAACCCATGCTACAACCACAAGCAATGCGTTCACGTAAAACATCACGTTCCAGTTATCGCAGTGACGCAGATGTGCGCTCTATGAGCGAAATGATTGTTGACTTCCGGCGTCAGGAACATGACTCACAATCAGAAGCCTCCAGCTATTACCCACGATATGGTTATGAAACCTATGAAGGTGACCAGTATAATCCATCACTGGCACGTTCATTGAGTCAGCCGTCCCTGGCGAGATCCGCTAGTGAATTTACTGAGAGGTGGATAGCACCATCACGTTATGACACAGCTAGTGAATTCACTTCTCCGGAAGGTACTCCCAAGAGTCAACGCAGCAGTAAAATCCAACCAATGCATGTGCCACGTGGTCAAAGCGCCGCGCAAACATCAGTCTGGCAAAGCACTACTCAAATGCGAGGACAAGCTGAATCCGGACGCGTCGCCAGCGCCACCACAAGACAGGTTATGTCATCGCAGCAGTATAGAAGTGAAGCTAGTACAAGTTTCATGGGACCACCGGACAAAAACTGGTTTGGGGACAACGATAGCGAGGCTAGTTACAAATAAGCACTGCCGCTTTTTTTTGCAAAGTCAAGATGAAGGGCAATTTATACAAAGTACATTTAAACACTGCCTCGATGCATGGATCAATATTTGACCGAGAAAAATGTAAAAATTTTATTTGAAGAGAGAAAATATGTTAGTGTAACTAGCTGTGATAACGAAAGCAACAATCCTTCCATTCGATCTATTTTTCAAGTTGCTCTGCCAACAATTTACTTCTTGTACTTTTTACAATTTGATCAACGCTTAGAATTTCTCAAACATCAATCAGAAATTTTAATGCGATTATTCTACCAGATTTTTTACTTGCCATGTTTGTAAACTCATAACCTGTATTAATATTTAATTCTGCAACTGGAAAATTTGGTAGAAACATTTATGATCGACGATCAACTATATTTAAACATTTTGATTTTATTTCCAACGTAAAAATTTTGATAAATCTTTTCTGGTGTAGGTAATTTATAATATTTTATTATAAATGAATCGGGAATGCTTTTTGTCTGTTATTTTCCTTCTTGTGACAAAATAATGCGAAGCTCTGCAAATAATTTATACATACACGAGTTATCAAGCTAACTTAATACTGAATTTAGCGTAAATTTAGCGTATATATAAATAATATATGAAAGATAGTTTATGTTTACAGTTAAATCTATTTTAATACAAGCGGAAATGAAGTTGTGTTAAAATATAGACGCATGACAATGTATGTGAGATGAAATTCAATTTTGGTGCTATAGAATTAGTTTTAATATATAAAATTGTAGAAGAATATTTTATTACTTTACACTGTTGTAAAATTAAAACAAAACCTTGTAATAACATAATGTTGTAAAAACAGAATAAATCCAAGCTTTTTTCTACTAAAATTTATTTCTTCTGCTTTTAACACCTGAATATCATCAATCTTTGTCTTTGTTATTTTTTAACCTAAAACTGACGTTTGACACATTTTACTTAGTTTTAATGGCCACAGTTTTTCAATCAGTTTGGAACTGTGGACAGTTAAGCAGAATGTTGATTTATCGATGGTGTACACAGGACTACGGGCGCCGCAACCAAATGACGAATCAATTTCCAGCGAGCACCGAACTTCATTATCGGCCGATACGACGACACGCGCGCCACAATTGCAAATTCAATATGCAACATAAATGCAACCCGAGAGAATGAAATTATGACCCAGCAGCCGCAGGGCACAATACCGCATGATGAAAATATTTATGCACATATTTTATAGGTCATTGTTTCAACAAGTTGTTAAAGTTGCATGTTTTTGTTCTTTCTGTAACAGGTTGTGTCGTAGAAAATAGATGATAATGTATGAGGACATTAAGATGCTGATAGTGTGCATTTACATCGTGGGGGAGGAAAGAATGGCGCATGAATTTCGACGATGACGCCAAGCTGGCGACTGTCAACAAGTTACTACCAGGGCTGTAGGTTTACCGACGCCATCGTCCTTTTCATTGTCTCGTCTGCTTCCAAACGCGTTAAACAATGTTTCGTTAATCTATATTCTACGGAAGGTAAGTAAACAGTAATGAGTTGATAAAATAATATAAAACAACACGATAATGATGAGTATTTGTAGGTTATATTAGGTTATGTTAGGTTATTTTAGGTTATTTTAAAGTTATGGTTATGTTTACGTTGTAAAAGCGCTACAGGTTATATTCGAGGCGTGTTGGGGTGTTGTAGATCTGCAATGTTCACAATCGGCACATTTTCGTCGACCCTGAACGTCCACACTTCTCTTTTGCGCTCTGCAGAGCTTTCCAGCCACGCGCCTCACGCTGCGTGCGTGTGCGCCTGGCGTCGCGACGATTCTCCGCCGTCCGTCGCTCGCACATTTCGGCGCATCAGTGGCACACCAGGCGTCGCCATGTGACGTCAGGTCCGATTGCGTCCGCTGCTTTCGCACAAGAAAACCGCGTGTGTTACTCAACATCCCTAAATATAAAAAAAAAGAATAGAAAAGAACATAATATTAACATTTATTTCTTTCAGATTACATAATAATCATTTGGTTTTACTATATTTTAATAATATGGACAAATTGTGAGGGTAAAGTGCGTTTTGTTGATCTTCATTGCGTCGCAAAAAGCAAAAAGTTTAACATTTAACATTTGCTGTTGTTTTCGCACAAATGGGGAGTTATTGTTTGCTGGCGATTGAAAATTAATATTGTGCATTTCACACTGCATGCAGAGAGAAAAGTGAAAGTGAAAGTCATATTGGTGTAAAGTATTCAACGAACGCAGCAAATTTCCAAGGACATACGTATACAGTAAGTCGTTTGTATTATAATACATGAAATGTTATTCTTTGCCCGGCGCCTCCACACTATAATAATATGAGTACAATTATATTATAAAATAAAAATCAATTTTCTTTTAGGAAAAACGAAAATAATTATTCAACCTTGACAAGATATAAAACCTTTTATTAATTATAAGTTGGAACGCAATGTCGTACCGCAATCAATTAAAAATTGAAAAATATGCACTTCCAGCGCTTTTGCGCTTTAATTGAACAGACAAGACAATTAATTTAAACGCTTCGTAGAAAAACCCTTCACTTAAACTCTTGAAACTTGAATAATAAGAATGCTGAGCACACGCTGCGTTTTTTCTTTGCTGAAAAGCTTGCGTATTCAAAATTCTGTGCACGTTTTAGGCTAATTTTCGTTAATTATTCACCCACCTTTAATTTGCACCACAACATTGCGAAAAATAATTGTATTGTAAACATAAATAAATAATTGTTATTGCGGGATGTGTAAAATGATAAAATAATAACAAATTTTGTTGTAGTTGAATAAAACATTAAATAAGAATACAATTTTTGCGGAGAAAAAAAAATTACGAATACATCAAACGTAGGAAAATGAGAAAATGAGCATTCTGATTATAATTAACTCAGATAAATGAGCGTGAGCAATGTTTGCGCTTGCTAAAGTTGTATCACAGCGATTTATCTACTGTCGACATTTTGGCGTGGTGAAATTTATTTCATCCGTATTAAATTAATTTTTAATTAAAAAATTTAGAAATATTTGTATATTAAAATTTAATCAAATCTAATTTTATGAGCAAATAAACACATTAATTTCACCCGGCAAATTAAGCGAATCGAAGCGCAGCCGCGAGTGCTTGCGGTGCTTCGCAATGTGAAGGACAATTCGTAATTACGTTTTGTGCCGACTCTCGTTTGCGGTTTCGGTCCGTTTGCCTCCTGTGACAGGCAGGCCCAAGAACGGAACAAATTCATCAACAATATATTTGCCCTTCTCATCGAGTCGCACGATGACATGACAAACGGAACAAAGAACGAAGAAGCTACAACAACTCACATTCCACTCTAAGATAAATTGAATTCGGAATGCAGCAGAGACAAAATTAGATTTGAAAGAATACAAAACTCAAGACATATTAAATACTGATAAATTGTGTGAACTTTTAACCTTCACAATCGCTTTTTTTAATGTTTTTGAGTCACAAATTGATTAATTTTATTTGTGCCTGGATTTTCTTGAGAATCTAGGGCGGCCACTAACAAATAGTTTCAAGATAATAGCAATTGACGCGATAATAGAAAATGCTGTGTCCCCGTAGGCGCGAAACTCGAGAACAAATGAAGGAAGAGACCGAAATGAAACGCGTTACAAATTAGAGACAAATTGAATTCAACACTTGCTATTTACTCCAGTTTCTCCTTTTTGTATTATTTGTGCTGTAGATTTATTGCTTGTAATCAAAACATAGTATACCTTGTTTATTAATCAATATATTACTCCATTGTGTGGAATTTTATGCAAATAAACTAAAAAAGTTTCTAGACTTAATAAAAATTCAAGGAAAGTCTGATGGAAGACAAACAACGTCAAAAACTATGTTTTTTTAATGATCTTTAATGGAATAAGATGATAAAAAATACATTCTTTAGAATATAGAAGTTTTAGGCTCTTAGTGAATTAACTACCGCTTGAATAAACATTCGAACGGATTTTCTTTGCTGTTTGGTCTTTCTACAGGTTTCTTTTGCGATGTTCGTATTCAATGCTTTCGTGTTTGTTTGTTTCCTTATTTTATCAGAGTTTTATGCGTATTTTTTGTTCGATTTCGATTTATTTTTTTGTCTTGTCTTACATTTTTGGTGAACTACATTTTTTCGTTTTTGTTTCAATAATTCTGAGTTTTTCTGTGCTTAAAATACGATTGTTTGTTGAACTGGCAAAAAGTAAGGATAAAAAAGGTTCAGACTAGTGGAACTGGTCATTATTGGGTCATTATTCATTGAAACGTGTGGAAGGTTTACAAAAAACTATTGTTTTTAAAAAACTAAGTATGAGCAATTATGGGAAATGGCTAACGGAGACTTTTTTCATAAGATAATTAATTTTTCGATGTAATATGGTTAAAAAGCAGTATTATAAATTAATTAACGTCGGCTTTGTGGATTCAAACGCAGTCTTCTTTTTTTTTTTGGAATGTAGAAGGGTGTCACTTCAAAGAGAATAATTATAAACAGAATTCATCCAATTCCAGAAATTTTTTAGGTCAAAAAAATAAAGAAATATTTTACCACAAAATCTATTAATATTATCTGCAAGGAAAAATAATTTTAAAAAAAACCTCAATAACGTAAAACTATTAAATCATCCTTTAATTTTATATTTCTGTTAATAACTATTATATTTATTTTGAAACTAGCTTTTGCCCGCGACTTTGCCCCGGTAGTGTTTAATAAAAATGTAATTTGTTTTTACTCTCTTGTTCTAGACATAGTATGTATCAATTCTATCAAAAAGATTCGCAATTTTATTTTAAAGAAACTAATTATATAAAGAATTGCTAATACAGCACTTGAGCACGCCATCTCGGATTCAACTATTTAACTATAACTATGATTGAATCTCAATGCCAACTTTTATTCTATAGAAAAAGGCTGTTTTAGCGTTTTCCCGGTAATTATTCGAATTTTTCTCGCCGTAAAAACAAGTCTTGGACTTTAACGAACAATTTAAAAAAAGAATTGGCCAAATTTGTCTAGGCGTTGTTGAGTTATGCGCTTTCCAACAGATTTTGTGATTCATTTTTATATTATAGATGAAATATTTTGACTACAATATAAAATAAAGGCATTGTAATACGCTGCGTCGCAGTTAATTGTCATTAATCAAGTTTATCTGTGTATTAATTGAATCAAAACTTATGACCCGTGCACTGTTTACATCCGCACGAACGCGAAACTTGACATGAATATTAGGGTAAAAGAGGGTAATGGGGGTCACTTAAGGGAAAACTCAAATATAACTTAAATTATAAACAAAATACTTATTGCAATCGCTTATAAGCATTGTTTACTTAAATACCTATTATTTGAAATAATTTTCGGTCACTTTGACAATCAATTTTGGATATTATTAAAGTTTAAAAAAAAAACAGATTTGACTCCCATTACACCGACATGCGGGTAATGGTGGTCACCCTGGGAACAATCGGAATCAAACGAAATCTAGCAGATATCGCAGACATAATATTCCGCAAAGTCCCACCCAGTGCATTTCACATGAGCCCATAGCCCACATGAAGTGCATCTGAACCACATTTAATTGTTTTTTTTTAAATCGTTGCACATTAGACATCAGTTTTCCAAATCTTCATCCTCATCGCCCTGGCATAAGTCATCAGTGCCAATATTGGAATCATAAGTTTTGTTACTTTCCCGCAGTATCGTTTCTGCAAGAAGGCTATTGAAAAATAAGTCACATTGCTTTTTATAGGCCATTTAAAGCGGACTAAAGACAAAAACGTCCATTGGGGGTCGCATGACTCCCATTGCCCACAATTGCACTATTGTGAAA